TGCAGGAGTACAAGTAGTAAACCCTAATTGGATTGTACCCCATATGGGCTACCCCACTACAGCCTAGACAATATGCAGCACATATAGTTTGACACATCACGGCCACCCTGAACTTCCAGGGCATTTCAAATTACAACATCCTGAAGCCAGAGGGTGAAAATTAACACAATTCTGAAATCACAGGGCAAATTCAAAACTGCATCCTGAAATCAGGGTAATCAGGATGTTTTGCCCTGATATCGTGGGGCCTGGATATAAGCGTCATGCGCCAATTAAAAGCGCCAGGCGCTTATCCGAGGGTGGCGCTTATATCCGGGGTATGACGGTAATGAGAAACTCTTTTCAAGATGTGTGAAAATATTTCGAAGTACTTAAAAAAAGTTCCCATTTATAAGACTTATAAGACACCCAAAACCAAGGCTGACGATATCAGACTATTTTAGTCTGATTGTCTGAAATTTCAGACTATTTTCCTGTCATTCCTGATTTTTCATAGTTGGTTAATTTTGGAAAATGAGTGCTTCAGACTAGTGTTTCTTTCAATACTGAAAATTTCAGAGTAGTTGCTTGCCGGATAGTGAGTTCTCATACTACAGAGTATGAACTCCTCTACGCCATTCATGTTACTTCGAAGAAAATACACCCCTCGGGACTTTTGCAGAAGTCCCGCTAGTAGTAAAACATGCTTAGTGTTGTGGTAGTCTCAAAATTCTACATATTTCAGAGTTATGCTTCTATGGTTCCTGAGAAATCAGAGTATTCATTCTATGGAAAATGGGCCTCAGACTAAAAAATTTTGGGGGCCCAATACAATCAGAGTGGTTTTATTTGAATAGTCAGCCCTGCCCAAAACCTCCCCAAATACAAGATAACCCAAGCATTTTTTTAGTGTACGAGATAAGACATATATGCAGGCCCTCAGAAGTCAGACTTTTTTCTCTGATTTGGACTTTTTTCTCTGATATTTCAGATTTTTTTTCCTGTGTACTCTGATAAAATCAGACTTTTTTGGGCCTCCACTCTATAATTTTCATACCTTTTTCATGGCTGACTCTGAAAGTTCAGAGTTTTTTGAGAGTGTACTCTGATAATTCAGAGTACAAACGTGTCCTTGACTGCTGATTCGGACTTACGTGTCAACTCAAAATCGCATTGACACAGCAAATCCGAGTCTTACAGCACTAGATTTTCGCCCAATCATAGGAAAATCGCCCTGACACAACAGATTTGCGCTGTCAGAGTACAACAATCTTCGCCCAATCACAGCAAAATCGCCCTGACATTGCACATTCGCCCATTCGCACCACAAGATTCGCCCTGACACATATTTTCCCCCTGTGAGAGCATGTTTTGATAGTAGATGAATGAAACATTGAAAACACTTCCGATGAAACATTGAATACATTGATTTTGAATGATCAGACTTTTGTTTTCAGGCACTCTGAAATTTCAGTTTTTTTTCTATACCAAGTCTGAGATTTTCAGACTAAAACTGTGTACTAGTCTGACGAATCAGACAGGCCAAAAACGAATCTGAGGGCCTGCATATATGTCTTATATCCGGGCGATGACGGTACCGTTTGCATGTTCGCACATAAATATTCGGTTAATGCCTTCGCTCATACTTTAAACTCGTTTGACACCTAGTGCAATCCTCGCTAATCTCATAACACATATGGACTGGTAGCTAGCGTGCAAAACGAATAAAAAAACATCGACTAATGGCACTAGTAGAAATAAACATTTATGGAGGGTGGGTGGGCCATGTCTAATAGCCTCATCAAAAGACTCCAGGATCATTGGCATTACATGAAAGAGGTATAATTATCCTATCTAGAGGCCTATACATAGCACTTGTTGGAAACAATGAATCTTAAACGCCTCTGTCGTGTCGAAACACTAAGGCACAATCGAAGCGAAGCCTATCGAAGCACCAGCGAGTCAACCCTCGGAGGTTGAGAGGTTGCTGGAGGTTACGCGAAAGTCAAAGGTCAGCGACCTTTGACCTGACAAGTACAGCGCGACAGCAAGGACACACAACTGACTCGCTACAGAGCAGTTGCCCGAGTCGTCACTGTATCGAACCGCAACAGCAAAAGTAGTTATAACTGTATCCTTTCATATTCCTTGTAATCCTATAAATCCTTGTATCTTCTTGTTTTAATCAACTTACTTTGCCCTCACATACTAGCGCAAGGTGGTTCACAAGCAGGGCTCTTGCTAGGATTCAAGCCCATCTGAAGACATGCATAAAAAATTTCGTTTCGTCTGACGTTTTGACGAGGAAAAAAAGCTGGTCTGAACTTTCAGACGAGTGCAAACGCCACGTCTGATTTTTCAGCTGAAATAGACAAGGACTTCGGGGAATTCGGCTGGGGGTGTTGGGCTGTTGCGAAACTTTTCAAGAGGCATGGGAAAGCGGGCTAGGCTAGGAGCGGGGGGACCTGGGGAGGGGACCTAAGGCTGGGGGAAAGGGGGAGAAGGGCTGGACTAGGCCAGTAATATAAGGACGAGGAGCGAGGGCATTGTCAAATGATATATATGTGTGATATATATTGGTAGGCTGTAGTGGGGTAGATGTTATAGGGGATAACACTTTAGGGTTGTGTTATTTGTACCAAACTCTCGATAGTCAATCCAACCTTGCCTGATTCTCTCGACATGGCATCAAATGGGGGGCTGTGCTGTTAGAGAAGCAAGGGATCGGGGGGGGGGGAAGAAGGGGGTGGGGGGAGAGAGGATTGGGGTCGATATCAGACAAATTGCAACCCCCTATCTGAAATTTCAGACGAAGTGTTTTGCTTCCTCTGGAAAATCAGATGAAGTGAAATTCGTAATCTTACAGATCAGACGAAGTAAAAATCTTCGTCTTGAAAATCAGATGAAAACAAAAATCGAGGTCTGAAAATCAGAAAATCAGACCAATTTGGTCTGATAACGAGAGCCCTGCACAAGTCCTTCATCAACGCTTCCGCTATTGCATAGTTCTTACCAGAGTTTACCCCTGCAAAGATCCTAAGGGCTTTTCTCAGCCCAACAGCACTAACATCTTTCCCACAACCACCTCTTTGCAAGTCTACAGCCTAAATTGCGGGGGGTGACATGAAATAGGTAGGTAGTTAAGGGAGAGAAATTCGAGCCGCCTTTCAGCACCTGCAATGTCATCTTCCCAAGTCAGTCTATGTGCACCAGTCCACACCTAGTCGCCGCAGGCTGATGTGGTGAAGCTGATGCGTGCATGTATCTTACACAAGTGCGGCAGCCATGGCAGCATGGCAGAGTCCAGGGGTTACCGGAGCCCAGGGTTCAACGTTTAGGGTTTAGGGACTCAAAGCCCAGGAACAGGAGAGAAGGAAGGGAACGAGGTGGTTTAATAGCCGAGGGCGGGGGAGAGGGCGAGGAGGGCGGGGATGGCGGAGGCGTTGAACTTGCGGGCGAAGAGGAAGCAGTGCGTGGGGCGCCCCGCCAGCTGGCAGAGGCGCGGTGTGGGCACGCGCAGGAAGCCGATGGCCTCCTTGGGCGGCAGGCGCGTGCGCTGGATGGAGTGAAGGAAGTCAGGTGTGAGCTGCTCCGGCGTGATGGTGAGTGGGTGCCGCCCGGCTGTTGGTTGCCAGTGCAGAAACGTCACCCCCCGCGGCTCCACGCCTCCTGGATCCTGCATCTGGGGGAGGGGAGGGGGGGTTGGGGTTGGAGAGAGAGGAAGTGGCGGGAGAGATGGCGGGTGGTGGGTGAGGGGCACAGAGGGACGGGGGGGACATGGCAGGGGCAGAGCAGCAGAGGTGGGCGAGAGGAGTGGCAGCAAGGGCGGACGGAGGCCCATGGTGTAAGGAAGGACATGATGGAAGAATGCACACAGTGGAAAGACAAGAGAGAAAGAATTGCAAGTGCGCGCGTTAAGGAAAGCAGCGGAGCAATTGATAGGAGAGAGCGGGGAAGGTACCAGAAGGAGCGTCTGGATGTAGCTCTCGTCAGGAATCTGAAGGCGGGGGGAGCAAGGAGAGGGAAGAGAGAGTCCGTTGGACGGAGACGGGGCATGCATGAGCCGACATCCATGGATGGTGTGGCGGAGGCGAGGAGCAGCACAAGCAGGGCAGCGGAGGGGAGAGACACATGCAGAGGGAGACTACGAGAGAAAGGCAGGTGCGAGTGAAGGAAAGCAGTGGGGCAAGGTAGACGGAGCGAAGGAAACGCATTGGAGGGGCGTGCATGGGAGGGGCGTGCATGGGATGGGAGGGGGAGTGGAAGGGGAGGGCGGGGTGACTGACCATGGCGTTGTTGGTTAGGAAGGCGTCGTACACGTGTGTGTCCGCCACCACCATGTCTGCGTGGCGCCGCGACAATGCGAACCACTGCCCGCACCACAGGGTGGTGATCGTTGCAGGCACACATGGGTGGGGCACACACGGGCAGGGCACACACGGGCAGGGCACACACGGGCAGGGCACACACGGGCAGGGCACACACGGGCAGGGCACACACGGGCAGGGCACACACGGGCAGGGCACACACGGGCAGGGCACACACGGGCAGGGCACACACGGGCAGGGCACACACGGGCAGGGCACACACGGGCAGGGCACACACGGGCAGGGCACACACGGGCAGGGCACACACGGGCAGGGCACACACGGGCAGGGCACACACGGGCAGGGCACACACGGGCAGGGCACACACGGGCAGGGCACACACGGGCAGGGCACACACGGGCAGGGCACACACGGGCAGGGCACACACGGGCAGGGCACACACAGGCAGGGCACACACGGGCAGGGCACACATGGGCAGGGCAAAGAGTTCCACCAAGTCAACCACAATTTCCAACCAAGCACCGTTGCAGATAAGGACAGAAATGAATGTGGGTGTGCGTGGCAGGGGAGTGGCATCAAAGACATGTAAGCGGTGCAATGCGTACTAGGTGTGTAACAATCACCTCTCCTCACAGCTTGTGTGGTGTGGCACCTCACTATACCACACGTCATTGTGCAGCACCTCACTGCACATCACTTCATTGCACAAAACTCCTCACAGCGCCCACCTGCGAGCCCACCACCCCTCACAGCGCCCACCTGCGAGCCCTTGCGGAACTGGCTGCGGTTGACAGTAGGCGCCATGCCCGGCTGGTACCGCCACTCGCTCGGATGGCTGCGAGTGCACGCAGCAGGGGAAGTGGGGACCGGGTGAGGCAGGGGGAAGGAGCAGGGAGTGATGGGTCAGGGAGCACGGCAGGCGAGATGGACGGCAGGACTTCTACCTGCTGGAGCTGCTGGGTCTATGTGTGATGCACCTCGCGTCTCTACACGCTCATGCTCCCCACATGGCAACGCCGCCCACGTGGCCATGCCGCGACCACGTTGCAATGCGGGCCACGTGGCAATGCGCCCCACGTGGCAATGCGGGCCACGTGGCAATGCGCCCCACGTGGCAATGCTACCCACGTGGCAATGCGCCCCACGTGGCAATGCTACCCACGTGGCAAGGCGGCCCACCTGGTGATGAAGCTGGTGGGCGAGGCGAAGAGGTAGTCGTACACGTGGGAGAAGTTGAACAAAGGCACACACCTGCCCCCGCCACGCGCCGTGGGGGGGAGGGGAAGTAGGTGAAATGGGGGGAAGAGAATTGTGCGGAGAGGAATGACGGTGTGGAGAGAAAGGAGGGGCGGAATTGGTGGTGGAGGGGAGTGGTTCTGTGGAATGTGAGGGGGAATGACGGAGTGGAGTCGTGCAGTAGTGCACGCACACAGCACAAATTCTCCAAAAAGAGGCAACAGCGAGCGCGAGAGCGCAAGGAGCGGGATCACAGGGCGGGCAGGGGCGAGCGGCGTGGCGTACGATTCAGAGAGCAGCACGAAGCGCTGGTTCGCCGGATCCGCCAGCGCCGCCGCCAGTAGCCGCCTCTCCGCGCGGATCAGGTTGGGCCCTCCCCATGATATCTGCCACGTGGCACGCCAAGGACCATGGGCAGGGAATGCGGCAGTGACGGGGTGGTGGTGAGAAGCAAAACGGACATCACCACACGCTGCCGCACACAATTCCTCATGGGCTCACCCAAAATACCGAAAGAAAACACGCACGCACACCCACACACAATGCATGCTGCAGCGAACCGTGCGCGTCCGCACGTACAGAAGCAGCGGGCAGCACTCGGCGGCGCGGCAAGCGCCGGGACACGCGCTGCTCGTGCCAGCGCCCTGCGGTGGCCTCACCGGCACGCTGGGAATCTGGCGGCCGCGGAAGGCGGCGTAGTTGACGGCGCGGTCGCAGTCGAAGTCGGGCTGCGACGCGTGGATGTACACCGAGAACTGCGCCTCGTGACCCTACGGGGGGCGCGCGGAGCGACATGGGGGGCGTGGCGGGACGCACGCAGGTGGGGCGGTGATAGGGTAAGTTGGCGGTGGTGGGGGGTGGAGCGGGTGTGGGAGCGAACAAGAGCGGTGGAACGCTGACGACTGTGACGGAATGCATAGGGGGGCCGAGACACGGGTCGGGAAGTCCCGTGAGAACTACATCCAGCAACGCGCGCGCCCTTGAAGGCGGGAGCTTGCGTGCCCGACACGGCGACGGGGAGCTTGAGTCAATTGGACGATGGAGCCGCGTGGAGCATAGAAGTCACACGCGAGTCACCTGGAAGAAGCGGTGCCAGATCTCCTGCAGCGGCAGCGGGCCGCGCACGAGGAAAAGAAAGGCGATTTTGCCGCGCGGCTCGGCGAGGCGCGCGTCGTCGATCTGCACCATGGCGCGGCGGAAGAGGTCCGCGTCGACGCCGTCCACCACGCCGTCGTCCCACGCCGGCTTCGCCACCTCGGGATCCACGACGCTCAGGATCGCCAAGGCCGGCAGCACCAGCAGCAGCGCCGCCGCGCGCACCATGGCCGTCGTGCCCAGCTTAGGGCACGCCGGCCATTGGCTTTGACTCGGAATCTTCTCCATAACGGGTACGTCGTGTAGTTACGGTCTACGAGAGCATTCTAACGCATCGATCCACTGTCGCCGCTAGTTATGCGTGCATGGCACCTGACTACGTTGGTGTGTGCGCGCTTCGATTCGAGAAACAACTTCTAGGATGGATAGACGGGATGGGAGTGAGCGGGGGAAGGCCGTTGCACCGAAAGGGTGAAGGGGAGAGCGGTGCGGCGAATGAGAGAGCGGTGGGGTGAGGTTGCGGATACAACGAAGCCTTGTCATGCAGGGAGGCGGAAATACACCATTTTTTGCCCTGGCGCACGCACGCTGTGCGAGTGGGCGCGGTTGTTCGAAGCTCCAGTAGGCATGGGGGTGTCAGCGCACCACAGCTGTTTCGGTCAGAGAGGTTCGGTCGGCTTCGCTGCACTCGTGTCTGGGCCCAGTGAAGGGCTCACCGAACCGAATAGTGTGTGTTGGGGTTTCCCAACCTGCTCCGCCACATCAGTCTCCCATCTGCCGAAGCCGATTCGTGACAAGGTGAGAGCTTCGTTACGGAGTCTCGGCGTCCACCGCTACAGTAGTTCCGTTGGGGCTAGTGGTGAGACTGGAGATAAAGCTGGGGAACGCGTACATTTATGAAGCTGTACCGATATATTCATACAGTTATCCAAGTGTTTTACCTGTATGTCTTCAGGTGACGGAGATGGCCTCCCCACCTTTGAAGTTCAACTGTAGCTCTAGAGGTTCAGAGGTCTCAACTCCCCTGTTTGAAAGGCAAATAGCCTATGCAAAGGCAAGTGGACGGTTGGGTCGGGAGTTGGTGCAGACTCCACAATGCCTTTGGGTAGAACGAATGAGGGTGGCAGTAGATCGCAGGAGTAGAGAAGCGAGTTGATTATTTGTAGAGTGTCGCCATGACTCACCAGCACCACCAATTTCCTGCACAACGAGAAACCCCTCATTACCTAGTGCGTGGACTGATCAAACCATCAAATACCCTTATAGGTGTATAAGTTGATTTCAAGTATCAATAAGGACTACCTCAGCCCCTTGATTCAATTTGCAAGCATGCATTTTGGCGCATGCAGATCCACTCACCCGTCCAGAGCCTCTTCAATGTGCCGAATGAGGTGCGCTGTTCTCTGCGCCACCGCCACCACACTCTCCCCGTCGCCACCCGGGCGGGATGAGGCGTCCTTCCTGTCGTCCACCCACACTGCTGGGTACTGCCACACAGCGCAGAGGGGAGGTGAAGGGGGAGGGGGGAGGAGCTGAGGACAGGGCTGCTTCTCATGAGAGGAGCAATGGAGGCGCGTCAGAGGTGAGGAGGCGGCACACCATGCAGAGATACTCGGCTGGTGGTGAGCGTGCGAATGCGTGTGTGCGTGCGTGTGAGCAAGGGAGAGTAAGACAGCATGGGAGAGAGGAAGTGGCAGCAGGGCACGCACGAGGTCATGCGAGTTGAGCTCCAGGTGGCGCCCGAAGTAGCGCTCCCTCAGCTCCTCCGCTGTCTGCACACCACACGGCATGCACATCCACAAACGACCATGCCACTCGGCATTCACATTCGGGAGGGCCCCATGCACGCAGGAGTTTGCTCGTGAGGCACCTTAAAAACAGATGATAGCGTGGACATGGGAGGGAGAGAATGGTGGAAGGGTGGCAAGGCGTGAAGACAGCGGGAGGTGGTGACATTGAGTGAGAACGAACTGGGGGGGCATGTCTGCTCGTGGCCCGAGTCGGATGACGGGCATGTGAGCAGTGACCAGGGGCCAGCAGGAGCGAAGCAGCAATGCGACCATGGGAGCAGAGCAGGGAAACGGGATGGAGAACGGGAGGGGAACGAAGGGAGGTGGGGGAGGGGGGCTGTGGGAAGCGAAGGAGAAAGAGGTTTTGGAGGCATGGCATGGGGACCCCACCCCACCCCACCCCACCCCACCCCACCCCACCCCACCCCACCCCACCCCACCCCACCCCACCCCACCCCACCCCACCCCACCCCACCTGGAAGCGCGTGCCTTGCACGTTGATGCCCAGCTCCGCAGCAGCGAGGGCGGCTGTCTGCTGCGTGCGGGTGAAGGGCGACGCCATCACCACCACGTCCCTCCCCGCCACTCCGCGCTGCTCCAGCAGCTGCAGCATGCACAGCACGAGAGGAGTGGGGGACGCACAGCACAGCACGGGGGGGAGGGTGGGGATGCACAGCACGAAAGGGGGGGGGAGATGCAGAGCAGTGAGGACGGGCGGGGTGGATGCGTGCAGCACCCTGTGCCCGTCAGCTGCAGCCCAGCACTTTCACGTGCTCGCTTTCTGTCCTGAGGGGGCACACGCAACATGCCATGTCACCACGCATTCCCCCACCTGCCCGCCACCCTCCCCCTCTCACCTGCCCGCCACCCTCCGCGCTCACCTCCCTCAGCTGGCGCCCTGCTCGCTGCGCCTGCTGCCTGCCCGCCGCCGCCAGCCCAAACTCCGCCGACACCCCGTTCGCCTGCCACGCACCGTTCGGGGGAGGAGGGGGGAGGGGAAGAGAAAGGGGAGAGGGGTGGTTGGGCGGGGAAGAGCGGGAGGAGGCAGCAGCGCTTGGAGAGGCAGCAGTGCTTGGGGAGGCGGCAGGTGGGCAATACTAGGAGGCACACACGGGCGCAGCTGGGGGAAGAAGGGCGGAAGGGCGGTGCGGCGGGCAGGGAGCGCCTCACCAGGCTGCTGACGATCAGTCCTCTCTCATTCGCCAGGCTCCGCCCGTGCCGCAGCAGCACGTATCTATTCCGTAACGTCTCAGGCAGCCCAAACCGCTCTCCGCTCGTCAATCCTGCGCTCGCGGCGCCATTTGCGTCTTCCGCTAACGTTCGCGCGCACCGTCCCTGCGCCTGTCCCTCCCCGTCACCCGCGGAGCACGTGCGCATTCCCCCCACCTCCTCCACCGCCGCTGTTTCCGCCACGCTCGCGGGCATTCCTGAGGCGGAGGCAATGGCGGAAACGGGCGGCAGCGCGAGGCCGTGCGCGACGAGGAGCAGCAGGAGCGCGGCGGACGCGGGGCCGGCGAGCAGCGCGCGGAGGCTTAGGGTTGCGTCATTCGCGGAGGCGAGGGGCTGTCGTGCCGGTGGGTCGACGCCGCATGCGCTGCGCGCAGCAGCAGATGGTGCAGCTGTCGTCGCAGGCTGAGCAACGGCGGGGGTTTCGTGGGCCCTCGCAACAACGACGGGCCGGCAGGGTGGCGTGGGGAAGCGGTGGTGAGGAGAGGGTAATGGCGCACGACGGAGCAGGTGAGTCAGGCGCTGCGAGTGCCACGGCAGCGTGGGTGGGAAAGGCGTTGCCGCGGACATGAGAGCACGCTGGCAGTGCGGTGGTGCGGAGGAACAAAGCACGTTATCCTGGGAAATGCTTGCCCTGTTGCTGGATGGTCTTGTGGGTATGCAGCACTTAGGCAGGGTCAGCAGAGTTCAGGGCGTGTTTGACGCGGTTTGAAACGGTCAGCCACGTTTGGGAGCGGTTTCGGTTCTCACCGCTTTTAGCGACCCAGCCTCCTCGAAACGCGACCTAAACTATATTTCTATATTCGCGTTATGTACTATATTTCTATATTTCTATGTGCATTGCACTTCCCCACAGTTTCCCACTGCAGAAAAATGTTTTTTTTTTGGCACCAAGATATAGATTTCCAGTGAAAAAAAATCATACTACTGCAATCCTCTGCCAAATCATTGTCTTGAATGAAGTTCACTCAATCTCCATGGCTAAATGGCGTTCCAGACATCAAAGGCCAAACTAAATGGCACCATAGCACTAACCAAGAAGACCAGTGACTTGCACTGCAGCAAACCGAGCAGCACTGCAGCAAACCAAGCAGCACTGCAGCAAACCAAGCAGCACCGCAGCAAACCAAGCAACACCGCAGCAAACCAGGTAACACTGCAACAAACCAAGAAAGAAGCACAGCAGCAAACCAAGAAGCACTGCAGCAAACCGAGCAGCCCTGGAGCAAAGCAGACAGCCCTGCAGCAGGCGAGCAGAGTGAATGATGCCTAAACGCAGAGGTAGCCGAAGCAGTTGACAAAGTTCATGACGCATTGCAGACCGGTGCAGCGCCAGTCGTTGGGGCACATGACAGGCGAGGCAGAGCCACACACGACGTCTGCACGCACAAACACAGGCGCAGGTGGGTGGGGCGAGGAGAGAGGGAAGGAGAGAGTGAGGTGCAAAGGAAGGCAGTGGTGAAGATGGCAGCCAGCAACAAGCAGCTACGTGCACCAGCATCAGCAGCATCTCACGCCCTCCCCCCAACGCCCCATCTTCCTCCCTGAGGACCCGACACTTACTGACGCAAGCCAGCGGCAGCGTGGCAGCGCCGACAGCATTAGGAGTGCCGGCGTTGAAAGGCGCGGTGGCGTCGACGGTGCAGACGCCGCGGCCGTAGCACAGCATGCCCTGCCCCGTGGTGGACTCGCAGAAATTGCACCCCGAGGCGCGCTGCCCCGTGCCCTTGGTGGCGCACGCGGCGGCGTCTTTGAAGCAGTTGCTGTTGGCGCCACATGACGTGGCAGTGTTGGCCGGGAAGGTGCCTGAGAGGAAGTTAAAGCCCACGTCGAGGTCCTTGAGTGCTGCCGACACCGGCGGCACGCGGTATGTGAGGTAGTTGTAGGACAGGCCACTGGCACAGGCAGGACGAGAGGGAGTTGAGGGGGGGGGGGGGGGGGGGTGGCAGGGTGGGGGAGACAGGAGAAAGAGGTTGGAAGAGAGGATGGAGGGGGGCGCAGATATGCTGAGCTATTTCATGGTTCGGGATGTTACGGCTGAATGATCCGTTTGGGTGAAAAGAGGTTCGGAAAGGAGAAGCAGAGCACAGGGCAATTGGGGGGTGGCGGTTGGAGAGGGACTGACAGGCGTGTGAGCTTGGGCATGCCGATGAGCGCCGGGGACAGACTGCCAAAGAACCAGTTGAAGTCGAGTAGGCTGCAGGAGACACATGCCCAGACACATGCAGGCACGCACATGTGCACACGCACGGCACGTGCACGCACCCGCACCCACACACACACAACCATGCACGCACCCACGCACACCCATACGGACATGCACACAGTGATAGCAGCACACACGCACCCATTGGCACACACAATGGAAAACAAAAGGGCACGGATAGTGGGTAAGTTGGCAAGGCAAGATGTGGTGTTGGAGTAGCTGACAAAACAAGTGGTGCTGTGGGGTGAGCAGCGACTGGTGGTGGGCTGAGAAGAGTGCAAGCAAGCAATGCAGTGCGGTGCGCAACAGGAATGGGAGGCGACTCACAGCACTGCGAGGTTGGGCAGCAACGGAATCTTGCTGCCAAACTCCTCCAGACGTGCCTTGAAGAGGTTCGACTTGAGTGAGCTGCAGCAAACACCCCAGTTTCACACGCGGGAAAGGGGGAGAGAGGAGGGGGGAATGGGAAGGGGGAGATAGGGAAGTGAATGTGAGTAGGGTCACAATGTGATTCAAAGCTATGCATGGACAGACTGGAAGATATGAGTGAGCATGCAAGTGCTTAGGTGGAAGTTGTGCTTACATGACAGAATATGAGTGCTTAGGCAGAATTTCTGCTTACATGAATGTGAATGCTTAGGCGAAAGTTATGCTACTTGAGTGCCGATTCTTACATAAACGTGAGTGCCGTGAGCTTGGTGATGTCAGCATGCAGAATGCCAGACAACTTCTGACTGTCCAGGGTGCTGTCAAGGGGAAGGGGTGGTGGTGGTGTGGGAAGGAAGGCGGGAGCAAGTGGAGAGAGTGAAGAGAAGTGCGCCATGGTAGGCGCAGGATGGGGAAACAGATATGGGAGGGGCCAAGTGAGAAATGCGAAGAAAACACACTAGAGCGTTTGAATGAGAGTTTCCTTGCTTCTCTCCCTGCCCTCCTCTCCAAGCCTCCCCTTCAAATTCTCCCCATTGGAGAAGCAGCTGCGGGAAGGCGAACCTTGGAACCTCCCCTCTCTGATGCTCCCCTGCACCCCTTTCCCTGGTGCTTGGTGCTCACATCTTGACGGGCTGGCCCGCACTGTTGCACTCAACGCCGGAGAAGCCACCACCGCCGGAGCTGCCGACAGCATTGCAGGTGGAGGAGGCCGCCCAGTTGGTGTACGTCACTCCCAGCGCCGTCTTGATGTTCATCAGCGCCGATGCTGGTGGGGGGGGGGGGGCGGTGGAGCACATGGGTAGCAGTGGTGAGAGGCATGGGCGTTCACATGAGGAGAGATGAGAGGCACGGGCATGCACATGAGGAGGAGAGGCATAGGCATGCCGCATGGACATGGGCAGCAGAGGTGAGATGCATGAGCATGGGCCGCCAGCAGCACGGTGGCAGCAGCATGAGGCACAGCCACAGTCGTACCTGCAGTGGCGTCGGTGGTGACAGGCGGAACAGGTGGGCAGGTGAGGGCGAGCACGGGGGTGGAGGTCGTTGGAACGGCCGTAACAGCCTTCACGGCAGCCGGGTCAGGCTGGCAGGCAACTGTGCCGCCACACAGGGTGCCTGTGGCATCCGCGCTGTTGCAAATAGCGCACGAGGGCCGCTGCGTGATGCCCTGGTTGTTGTTGTTCTTGCAGGGCGTGGGGTCGTTGAAGCAGTTGGCGCGCGCCGTGCAGAAGTACCAGTTGGCGGTGGAGGGGAACTTGCCGTTCAGCCAGTTGTTCTCCAGATCCAGCACCTGCAGTGCTGTGCCTGGCACCGGGACCGTGCCTGTGAGGTAGTTCCACCCCAGGCTCCTGCGCTCACCACATGCACGCACATGGGGACGGGGTGGGGGGAAGGTGAGTGCAATGGCATGACACACGGTGCAGCAGGGCAGGATATGCGGAGGGGAGAGCGGTGAACTTTGGACAGGGTGGTTGAAGGGGGGAAGGGTGAGGGCGCTCACAGCATGTAGAGGCTCTTGATGGCTGAGATGGTGGAGGGGATGGAGCCCGAGAAAAAGTTGTAACTCATCACCCTGCACGCGGCACAACGAGGGAGGGAGGGCAGTGGGGGGTAGAGCAGGTTAGGGATGAGCCGAGACAGGCAAGAAGAGGGCACAGAGAGGAGTGGAGAACAAGGATTGTGAGAAAGGGCGGGAGACGAGAGAGGGCAAGGTGAAGCGTGGAAGGCGTACAGGTATTTGAGGGCGGTGAGGCCGGTGAGCGGCGAGATGAACGGGTCCAAGGGGCCCGACAGGAAGTTGCTCGACAGGTCGCTGTAGGGGGGCACACAAGGGGGCAGTGGCCAGTGGGGAGTGGGAAGTGTCGGCATGAGCGCACGACGGAGCAGAAGGACCAGCCTGTGTGTGAGGGGCCCTTGCAGGGGTATGAACGGAAACTAGACCAGCGTGAATGAGGGGTGGCAATGAGCGGTGGGTGGGGCGAGCGGCACTGACAGGGCGGTGAGAGCGGTGAACTTGGAGATGTCGGGGTGCATGACGCCACGCATGAAGCGCTGCTTGAGGTAGAAGTCCACGACGGTGCCCTGTGCGTTGCAGTACACCCCCCACATGTCGTTGGGGCCCTTCAACTGGTTGGTCACCGTGCACAGCGTCCCAACTCCCCACTCCTGGTGTGGCACTCCCAGTGCCGTCTTCATGTTCGCCAGGATAGGCACTGTGGGGAGGGGGTCACGCAGAGGAGTAAACAGGGGGGTGGGCGGAGAAGAGGAGCGGGTTAGGGGGAGCAAAGTGCAGCGACGGCAGGGGGCAGCAGCAGAGGGAAGAGGCAGAGGGACGCACGGGCGGTTGGGTCGACACGGACGCCAGTGCAGACGAGTGGCAGCACGAGCAGGGAGGGGCCGTTAGGCGTCTTGGTGGCGAGCTGTGTCGCGGTGTTGGGCGCACACACTCCCCCACCACACAGCACCGTGGACGCATTCGCAGCACCGCAGATGGCACAGTCGGCAGCAGCGCGCTGAATGGAGGTGCCGACGCTGTAGCACTTGGAGGCGTCGGTGAAGCAGTTGCTGCGCGCGTTGCACAGCGTGGTGGAGCCCGCGGGGAAGGTGCCCGCCAGGAAGTTGTAGGAGAAGTCGATGGTCTTGATGGACGGTGCAGGCACGCCCGTGAGCGTGCCCGTGAGGTAGTTGAACTGCAGGTTGCTGCAGGCGGAGAGAAAAGGGGGGAGGGGGGCAGGGTAGTGGAGGGTGGGAGGGAGATGAATTGGAAATGGTGAATGGTACGTGTGGTTGGTAGTTGGAGAGGGTAGGGCGTGGGGTGTGAGAAGGGGTGAGACTAGCTGGAGGTAGATACACAAAGGAAGTCTGAGGGAGACCAATAAACATGAGCGTGTGCATTATGTGTGCGTGAGTGTGTGTGTGTGTGTGTGTGTGCGTGCATGCGTGCTTGCGTGCGTGCGTGCGTGCGTGCGTGTGTGTGTGTGTGTGTGTTGTGTGTGTGTGTGTGTGTGTGTGTGTGTGTGTGTGTGTGTGTGTGATAGGGGGGGAGAGGGGGGGGAGCACTTACAGCGTTGTGAGGGAGGAGAGAGTGAGCAGATAGGATGGCAGAGGGCCGGAGAACCAGTTGTAGTTGAGAGCGCTGTTTGAGAGGGGTGGAGAAGGGTGGAGAAATGGGTGGAGAATGATGGAGGGCGGGCAGGAGGAAGAAGTGAGGCGGGAGATTGATGCGGTCGCAAATGATTGCAGGGCAGGGCAGGGCAGGGAAAGGAGGGCAGGCAGGCTGGCAAGCAGAGGGAGGGCTGGGGTCGCAGGGAGGGCTGGGGTCGCAGGGAGGGCTGGGGTCGCAGGGAGGGCTGGGGTCGCAGGGAGGGCTGGGGTCGCAGGGAGGGCTGGGGTCGCAGGGAGGGCTGGGGTCGCAGGGAGGGCTGGGGTCGCAGGGAGGGCTGGGGTCGCAGGGAGGGCTGGGGTCGCAGGGAGGGCTGGGGTCGCAGGGAGGGCTGGGGTCGCAGGGAGGGCTGGGGTCGCAGGGAGGGCTGGGGTCGCAGGGAGGGCTGGGGTCGCAGGGAGGGCTGGGGTCGCAGGGAGGGCTGGGGTCGCAGGGAGGGCTGGGGTCGCAGGGAGGGCTGGGGTCGCAGGGAGGGCTGGGGTCGCAGGGAGGGCTGGGGTCGCAGGGAGGGCTGGGGTCGCAGGGAGGGCTGGGGTCGCAGGGAGGGCTGGGGTCGCAGGGAGGGCTGGGGTCGCAGGGAGGGCACTGACAGGTGGCGGAGCGACTTGAGTGAGGAGAGAGGCGAGGCCCACTCGATGAGGCGAGCCTCCAGCAGGTTCAGTGCCATGTTGCTGCGGATTGCCGGGGGGGGATCCAGGGGATAGGGGAGATTGGGCAAAAGGCGAAGGCCAGGAAAGGGTGAATGAGCGGTCATGACTGATGGGTATGGCTCTAGCAGGAATGAGCAAAATTCTTGCATGAATGAGCACGGAGAAATAGAGAGGGGTGGCAGCGTGATGTTGCAGGTACAGGTGTGGGAGCACGTAAGGATGGAAGACGTGAGGCAGGCACTCACACGCGAGTGAGGCCAGTGAGCTTGGACACGTCAGAAGGCAGATTCCCCCGTAGCAGGTTGCCGGGCAGCTCCCTGCAGTGACGCCATCAACCAACCATGCCAGCATGCCAGCATGCCAAAATGTACCACCATGGCCACATCCAACGAAGGAGCAAGATACAGGAAAGGCATGAGTCAGGGCGCTCAAAGCAGTCACGGTACGTCTGCAATATTAGACAGAGTTTCCCACCTTCCCTGATTTCCCTGAGAGGAGACCCGGGAGGAAAATAAGCTGCAGCAGCAGATCTCCCGCTTTCATGATTTCTTTCGAGAGGAGCATCGCATACGGACATTCAGAGGAGCGAGGAACGCGGACTTTCAGAGGAGCGTCGAATGCGGGCATTGAGCACACATGACGCGTGGCACTCACAGCTGCACGACTTGGCCGGTGACATCACAGCCGACGCCCGCCCAGCTGGTGGCCATGGGCGGGTTGCCCGCCACGTCGCACGGCGAGTCCACCAGCCACGTGCTCTGCGTCACTCCCAGCGCCGCCCTCAGCACCAGCAGCACTTGCGCTAAGGGGAGAGAGAGCGGGGGAGAGAGGGGGTGGAGAGGAAGGGAGCGAGGCAACAAAGAGGGCAGTGAGAGGAGCGGCAGGCAACAAGAGGCATGATGCAGAGTCTGCCATATGACACATCCGTGTGTGGATGTGTGTTAGTGTAAGTAGGTGCGGCATGTGGCACACTTATGTGGGCGTGCGGGCTCACCAGCAGTGGGGTCAATGGTGACAGGGGCGCAGTACATGGGCGGTGGAATGGACCCAAGGCCGTTCACAGTGCCGGCCGCCAGAGCGTCCGTGGCGTTGAGAATGCAGACAGTGCCGCCGCACAGGGGCGGGGCGGCGTTGCCGGTGCCGCAGATGTTGCAGCCGGAGGTGCGCTGAGCAACGCCGTAGGCGTTGTAGCAGGTGCCGAGGCCAGAGAAGCAGTTGTTTCGGATGTCGCAGAACTGGAAGTTTTGAGAGGGGAAGGCGCCGGCGAGGAAGTTGTGGTTGACGGCCAGGTAGGTGAGCTTGGCAGGCACAGCTGGCAGCGTGCCCGTCAGGTAGTTGGCACTCAGACGCCTGTGTTGGGGGAGCAGGGGTGGTGGGCGGCAGGTGAGTGAGTGGATGTGCGTGCGGATGGGTGGAAAAACCAGACATGGAGATCCGGATGAACTAAGGGCGAGAGAGGGTTGGGTATCAACAGATGCAGCATTGACCGCATCAATGCGCCGTATGCCACACACTGGCTGCATCAGTATCAAGTCTGAAAGGGACGGTGCGCAAGTATGTTTGGCAGACTCCCTGGAATGACTTGCACCTTGCCTGTGCTTATCAGTGCATCAGCACCAAGGTCATCTGAATGAGGAGCCTTGGATATGACTCACAGCGGCCCGTCACCCGCATTCATCACCTGACAGGCATCCATCACCTGACAGGCATCCATCACCTGACAGGCATCCATCACCCAAGGTTGTGCGATACTCACAGCGTTGTGAGTGATGCCATGTTGAAGAGCGTGGAGGGTATGCTGTCATAGAGGTAGTTGAAGTTGAGGTTGCTGGTGGGCGAGAGAGGGGCGCACAGGCAGAGGGGCGCACAGGCAGAGGGGGGCACAGGCAGAGGGGCGCACAGGCAGAGGGGCGCACAGGCAGAGGGGGGCACAGGCAGAGGGGCGCACAGGCAGAGGGGGGCACAGGCAGAGGGGCGCACAGGCAGAGGGGCGCACAGGCAGAGGGGCGCACATGCAGAGGGGCGCACAGGCAGAGGGGCGCACAGGCAGAGGGGCGCACAGGCAGAGGGGCGCACAGGCAGAGGGCAATGCACCCATGCAGAGAGGCACGTCACGCCCACATGCAGAGGGAGGGGTTGCATGAGTGCAGAGAGGGGGACAGGGAGGGCCGAAACAGGGAGGGCTGAAAAAAGGGAACAAGGAACACACAGAGAGAAGGCGAGCAAGGTACTGCAGAAAGTGGAAGGCGGGCATGTGAGTGAGGGGTGGGTGGGAGGCGTGTGAGAGGGGGATGGGCGGGGGAGAGGGGCGAGCGGACGCACAGGGTGGCGATGGCGGTGAGCGGCGTGATGTTGGAGATGAAGGTGGAGAGACGACCGTACAGCAGGTTGTAGCCCAGATGCCTGCACACAAGGGGGAATGGAGGAGTATGCAGGGAGAAGAGGTGATGGTTGGGTAAAAGAAAGCTTGCAGATAAGGTGATGCACTTACATGTAAGGTGTTGGTAAGCAATGAACATGCAGGAAAGCCATGCACGTACATGTAGGTGAGTCCGGTGAGTTTGGTCATGTCCGCATGGATGGTGCCCCGCAGGTTCAGGTTGTTTAGAATGCTGTCATGGCAAACACGCATGGGGGGTGGGGTGAGAAGGAGAAGAGAGGCATGAGAGACTGGTGAGTTTGGTCATGTCTGCATGGATGGTGCCCCGCATGTTCAAGTTTTGTAAAGTGCTGCCGTGTTAACACGCACAGTGGGTGGGGCACGGGAAGGCAGAAGAGCTTTATGAGAGACAAATCTTGCACAAGGAGTGACATGCAGAGAGGTATGCATGAATAACCTTTATTTCTCCGGCTCCTACTCATTCCTCCACTACCTCACAAACATTCACTGTCGATCTGTTTGACTTACTTTTGCTAGTTCGAATTTGGTTCAAAGAAAAAAACTCAATTGTTGGACGGCTGGATGGCTCACAGGGAAATGACGGCACCGCTGCCGCTGCACCAGACGCCCGGCCAGGTCTTGGGGGCGATGTTCTGCCCGAGGATGTTGCACACGCTGTTGGTGCTCCAGTCCGAGTGCGTCACTCCCAGCGCCGCCCCGATGTTCACCAGCGCCGACGCTGCTCAGAGGGGGCATAAAGGAGACACATGTGAGCATTCATAAGACATCCTTCTAAATCAAAATGGCCGTGTTATAGAGACACAGCGGAGGATATTCAACCCTTCAAGTAAGCCCGCGGGCGTTACAAAGCAGGCAGCACGGCGCATGCACACACCACTGCGGGATGAAGAGTGTTATGGCGCATGCAAGGCATGGCGGCGCAACGCAGTGCAGCAGGTATGGCATGGGCAGGGGGGGCACTCACAGGTGGCAGCGTCGAGGGGGAAAGCAGGGCACTTGAGGGCGAGGGTGGGCGCGGTGGCGCTGTTTGGCACTTTAGATGCCAAATACGCCGAGGGATCAGGAGTGCACACCGCCCCGCCACACAGCGGCAGCTGCCCTTTGGGCGACGCACACACGTTGCAGCCCGCGCCCCTCTGCGCGGTGCCATCGATGTTCACACAGGCCGATGCATCGAGGAAGCAGTTGGCCCGGGCGGAGCAGAAGGCAAGCGAGGCGGCGGGGAAGGTGCCAGAGAGGAAGTTGTACTCCGTGTCGAGACCCTTGAGTGTGGCTGCTGGCTTGGGCAGCGTGCCCGTGAGGTAGTTGTTGCTCAGCACGCTGGGGGTGGGGGGTTTGCACACACAGGAGGTAAGGGGGTGTGTGAAGAACGGATCGGTGAAGGTGAGCTTGAAGCAGCATGGAGGACGGGAGAGAGTGTAAGGGAAGGGGCAGACAGGTAGATGGGGACGAGAAGTTGAGTGGAGGAGGGCATAGGGAGAGGGGTTTACAGGAAGGTGAGGGCCAGCATGTTGACGATCGTGGTGGGGACAGTGCCGTAGAACCAGTTGAAGTTGATGAAGCTGTTGTTGGGGAGAGGGATGCGGGAGAACGCACACACACATGCACACACGCACATATGCATACACATGAACATCCACACGCGGTACATGCACGTGCACATGCAGGGATAAGGTGCATTGTTGACACACGAAGATACATTATTCAGGGCCGCATTGGAATGGGCAGGAGAGAGCAAAAGGAAAGTAACGGAGGAATATGAGAGCAGAGGGCAGAGGCGTGGCGGCACTGACAGCTCCTTGAGGGTTGCGGCGGGCGTGATGGGCACGATGTAGGAGTCAAGGCGATTGAAGAAGAGGTTAGATGACAGCCGCCTGCATGCACGGCCAGTGTTCAGGAAGGGCGGAAGGGAGCGTGGAGGAGATTGTGAGTGAGGGGCGTGAGGGAGAGGGGGTAGTGGTGATGAGGGCAGCAACTGCGAAGCTGAGAAGCAACTGCTGCGACCCGCACAGCAGGTGGCACAGGATGTGATGAATGGATGGATTACAGCTCAGCGAGCGCAGCGGCGCCTTACAGCGAGGTGAGAGTTGGCTTACAGCGAGGTGAGGGTGGAGAGCTTGCTGATGTCGGAGTGCACTGTGCCACTCAACAGCTGGCTCCTCAGGTCCCTGCATAGCGGGTTTCAGGCAGCAGCACCAGGGGCACATGCAGTAGCAGCAGGGGCACACAGGGGCACGAGAGAGACGTCAGTGAGAGCCGCTCGAGCGAAGCACCCGTGCCGCACAAGCAAGGTAAGGTGAAGCAAAGACAGTCAGCAGGAGCAGCGGCACTCACAGGCCGACGATCTGGCCAAGCGGAGAGCAGCGCACGCCGGTCCATGACCCAGCGATGGGCGTCTGGCCATCGATGGTGCACGACCCCACCGCCTTCCAGTCGTACAGCAGCCCTGACCCCCTTCCTTGCAGCTCGCGCCGCTTCCCGGCCTTGGGCTTGGGCGAGGTGGCCTTGGGGGCGGCGAGCGTGGCGGCGGTCCAGTCAGAGAAGGTGACTCCCAGCGTGGTCTTGAGAGCTAACAGGATGTTGCCCTGAGTTGCATCCAGTGGCACGCCCACGCAGAAGCGCGGCAGCACTGCTGCCGTGGCGCTGTTGGGAGTGCTGCTGGCGAGAGGCCCAGTTGTGTCGGGCGCACAGGTGCCGCCGCCACACACGGTGCCCGAGCCGTCCAGCGTGTCGCAGACAGGACAGGCAGTCGCATCGCGCTGCACGGTGCCGAGTGTGGTGCAGGCGCCGATGCTGGCGAGGCAGTTGGCGGTGGCGGAGCAGGAGGAGAAGCCGGCGCCGGGGAAGGTGCCCGACAGCCAGTTGCCATCTAGGGCAATGGCCTTGAGTGCCGCGCCTGGAGTGGGCATGGACCCGTACAGGTAGTTGTAGCTCGCTCCACTGCGAGAAAGGGGGTGAGGGGAGAGAGGATGGTGAGGAGGGGATCGTTCCCCAGTTGAGTGTGGGGTGGCTACACGTGCGTCCTGGGGGATATATGGGTGTTTGTGCTAATTATCATACAAACATGCCCTTTTAACCCGGTCGATAGCAGGCTGGGTAAACACAGACTGCTTGGAGGTCAGAGTGCTTGGAGGTCAGAGTGCTTGGAGCGAGGTGGGGATAGGCTAGCTACGAGGAAAAGCTCACAAGGTGGAGAGGGTGGCGATGCCGACGAGGGCGGACGGGACGGGCCCTGTGAACCAGTTGAAGTCAAAGTAGCTGCATGGGGAAGCGGAGAGAAGCCGGGAGGGAGGGGAGGACAGGGTAAGGTGGGCAGGATGGGTTGGAAGCATGCAGTTCAGCAAGTGACGCCACCCACGGTGATGACACCCAGAGGATGCAGTGGCAGGGCGCTGTAGGCAAGGTCGTGCAGTGCGGAGCGGCGTGGTGCAGTGGGGTGGGCCAACTCCATCCACACAGCACGCACTCACGCTTCCTTGAGAGACGTGAGCGCCTTGAAGTTGGTGGTGAAGACATCCAGACGGCCCTCCAGCAGGTTGGTGCGCAGATTGCTGCCAGCGCCGCACGGAGCACGACAGCACAGAGATCAGAGAAGGGCAGTGTGGAATGAGCGAAAGACGGCAGCAGAGTGCACAAGAACAAGTACGCGAGTACAGGGGTTACTCTGAGTGGGCAGGTGTGTGGAACATGTATGTGCGGGTGATCACATGCGTGTGAGGCTGCTTACATGTAGGTGAGGGCGGTGAGCTTGGAGATGTCCGCATGCATGGACCCTTGGAGCTTCTGCTGCGCCAGATTGCTGTGCATTGACCAACGCCCACACACACACACGCATGCCCACACCCACAAAGGACATTTGTTGAAATCTGAAGCGTTTCAGCGATTCTGATTCCGAAAAGCACCCAGACCATGAGTGGTGCCCCAAGGGAAGTGCAGAACAAGCTTGCATACACTCACTGAGAGATGACTTTGGAACTCACAGCAGGATGGCTTCGCCTCGAGAGGCACTCACAGCGAGATGACTTTGCCCGAGACGTTGCAGACGACATTGGACCAGGCGCCTGGCAGCGGGGCCAGCCCCTGGATGGTGCAGGGCGAGTCCACCGCCCAGCTAGTCCGTGAACGTCACCCCCAGCGACGCCCTCATGTTCAGCAGCGCCGCCGCTGGGGGAGGGAGAGGGGGGATGGCGGGAGAGGGACAGGGCAGGGAGTGGATGGAATAGGAGTGGGTGAGAATGCGGGAGCAGTGTGGCTGCAAAGACGCACCCATGCTGAATTGGCTCAAAAAGGCATCAGACCAAGGCGCTAGCATTTCTGTTCCACACGCCCCATCCTCCCGCGCACTCACCCATGACGGGATCCATGGTGGCGCCGAGGCAGTAGAGCGACGCTGTGTCCGCGTTGACGGTGTTGGCCGCAATGAGTGCCGTGGCGTTGGGCGTGCAAGTGCCGCCGCCGCACATCCTGCCCGTGGCGTCGGGAGTCTCACAGATGGCACAGCCACCTGCAGCGCGCTGGGTGGAGGCGGCGAGGCACTTGGAGGCGTCCTGCAGGCAGTTGCTGGCGCAGGCGACGGAGGTGGCGGTGGTGGTGGGGAAGGTGCCCACCAGGTAGTTGTTTGACAGGTCGATTGCCTTTAGGGTCGCTGGCAGCGCTGCCGGCATGCTGCCCGTCAGGTAGTTCAGGTTCAGGCGCCTGCAATACCCATGGCACAGCGGTGCACAGCGATTGCCGCGTAAGGGAAACGCGGGCAGGAGGGTCAGTGAAAAAGAGAGGCGTGGAGAGAGGAAGAGGAGAAAGGAGTTAAAGCGATGAGGCATGCACGTGAGCAGGAAATGAAAGAGGCTTCAGGCGAGAGTGGGCAAAGGTGGGAACAGGGCGACTTACAGTTCTGTGAGGGCAGTGAGGGCGGAGATGTTGGCTGGGAAGGAGCCCGAGAAGTAGTTCTGGTGGAGACGGCTGTGATGCACAAAGGCGCAGCACACAGGGGGATGGCATGAGTTCGAGAAGAGAGGCAGCGGGAGAATGGTGAAACGATGAACTAGAAAATTTCACAATAATGCTTACAGGGAGACGAGGGACTTGAGGGGAATGAAGGGCGCGAGGAAGGTGTCGAGGCGGTTGGAGAAGAGGTTGACCGACAGGTCCCTGCCGGGGGGCACAGCGCAGTACACAAATTACATAAGATGGAAGCGCACACACACATTCGTTGGTATTGTCTGGCAAGTGATGGGAATGACATACGAGGCCGCCGAATGGCATGCAATGGAATGGACGTGTAGTGGCAGGGCAGGTGACATGTGGAAACACAGTGTTGTAAGTGCAGAGAGCTTACAGTCTGGAGAGCATGGAGAGCTTCACGACGTCAGTAGGGAAGAAACCCGATGCCCTGACACCGTTGAGAACTCTGTGAGATGGCACGTGGCAGGCACACAGGCAAGAAATGAACCCAAGAATCGTTGCAATATGTGTGATGAATGAACAATGCTGGTGGTAACACACAATTGATGGCACAGGCATGAACACAGTGTGCCATGGTGCGTGCATCATGCTTGATGGCTGCCAACATGACACGTGCACGGCAATGCATGACGCATGCACAATGCGTGCATGGCAATGCATGACGCATGCACAATGCGTGCATGGCAATGCATGCCGGATGCACCAGCATAACCGGCATGGATGGGAGCGGGCGTGGGTTGGGAAGGGAGGAGGGAGGGGCGAGAAGAAAAAGGGGGCGTACATGTCGAGGACCATGCCGGAGGGGTTGCAGAAGATCCGGGGCAGTGTGCCGCTGATGTATGCCTGCCCTGCTATGGTGCACGTCGGCTGCGTCCACAGCCCCGGTACCATCGCCTGCAGCGCCGACGCTGCCAGGCACGGAGGGGAAGTGGGAAGGGAGAGGGGGGAATTGTGTTGACGGTGCAAGCTGTGCTTGAAGGTGCAAGCTGTGCTTGAAGGTGCAAGTTGTGCTTGAATGTACAAGTTGTGCTTGACGGTGCAAGTTGTGCTTGAAGGTGCAAGTTGTGCTTGAATGTGCAAGTTGTGCTTGAATGTGCAAGTTGTGCTTGAAGGTGCAAGTTGTGCTTGACGGTGCAAGTTGTGCTTGAAGGAAGAACCTCATGGTTGCATTGCATTTGTGAATGGCCCTTGAAGGGACAAGGTCAGGAGCTAGCACAGCTCACAAAGGCGAGTGTGGAGGAGCGGGTGTGGAAGACTTAAGAGCGGGTGTGGAAGACTTGGTGTGGAAGACTTAAGAGCGGGTGTGGAAGACTTAAGAGCGGGTGTGGAAGACTTAAGAGCGGGAGTGGAAGACTTAAGAGCGGGTGTGGAAGACTTAAGAGCGGGTGTGGAAGACTTAAGAGCGGGTGTGGAAGACTTAAGAGCGGGTGTGGAAGACTAAAGAGCGGGTGTGGAGGACTTTGGACCAGGAAGGCCGGCGGGCAGAGCAGCACGGGGTGGGGGGGGAGAGGGGGGGGGGGGTGGGTGGGTGGGGGGGGAGAGGGAGGCACCTTGAGCGGCTTGGATGGGCACGGGGTCGCAGCGCATGACAGGCACGGGGTTCCACTTGTTGACCGCCGTGATGGGCGTGGGCGTGATGGGAACACACGGGTTGCCCATGCACGCCGTGCCCAGGGCGTCCGTCATGCCGCAGATCTGGCAGCCGAAGCTGGGAATCGGTAGGTTCGGGTAGACTGCGGGGCAGGTGGTGTAGGTGGTGATGCAGTTGTAGTAGGCCGTGCAGTACGTGGCGCTGTTGGCCGGGAAGGTTCCTGCCATGAAGTTCTGGTCCACCATGAGACGCTTCAGTGCGGTGGAGATGGGTGACGGGAACGTGCCGGTGAGCGCGTTCATGCTCAGCTCGCTGCACCGCAGGGGGGAAGGAAGGGGGGAGGGGGGTGGGTGGGAGGAGGGGAATGGAGAGTGAGAGGGACGAGCAAGAAAGGAGAGAAGCAAGGTTCAAGGGGAAAGGGCATGGGAGCAGGGGGGTGAGGAACAAGGGGTGCAGGTTGCGGGCAAGGGCGATGGAAATGAGGTGAAAGAAGAAATGAGCAATGGATGGAGTTGCGACAGAACAGGGAGAATGGCAAAAGAGTTGCGAAGGAGTGATGAGATGGGCAGAGGTCGCACAGACAGGGTGGGGCACTGACAGGTTGGTGAGCTTGGAGAAGGAGACGAGCCAGAGGGGCACGGAGCCGTAGAGATAGTTGTTGTTGAGGCGGCTGCACGCAGGGGCGGAGGGAGAAGAGTGGAGAAAGAGGGGGTTGGAGAGGGATACGAGGCGAGGACAGGGATAGTTGCATATTAGCAATGAACTCACTCACAGCGGTAACAGGTTAGCACGGCACTTGCAGTGAGAGACCGTGAGCAAGGCACCCACAATGAGAGCATAACATGTAAGCAAGGCACTCACAGCGAGAGCAGGTTGGTGAGCGACTTAATCGGCGAGGCCCAAGAGTCGATGAGTGCTCGGAAGAAGTTGGAGCTCACATCCCTGCACGCGTAGCAGGAGATGGTGGGGGGGGGAGGGGAGGGGGGGAGGGGGGAGAGATGGGACATGATGGCAGGGCGGAGTGGAGCGAACAGGACATTGACACTCACCAGAAGGCAGAATGTGAGCGGCACTCACAGCATGGTGAGCGGCACTCACAGCATGGTGAGCGGCACTCACAGCATGGTGAGCGGCACTCACAGCATGGTGAGCGGCACTCACAGCATGGTGAGCGGCACTCACAGCATGGTGAGCGGCACTCACAGCATGGTGAGCGGCACTCACAGCATGGTGAGCGGCACTCACAGCATGGTGAGCGGCACTCACAGCATGGTGAGCGGCACTCACAGCATGGTGAGCGGCACTCACAGCATGGTGAGCGGCACTCGCAGCATGGTGAGCGGCACTCGCAGCATGGTGAGCGGCACTCGCAGCATGGTGAGCGGCACTCGCAGCATGGTGAGCGGCACTCGCAGCATGGTGAGCGGCACTCGCAGCATGGTGAGCGGCACTCACAGCACGGTGAGCGGCACTCACAGCACGGTGAGCGGCACTCACAGCACGGTGAGCGGCACTCACAGCACGGTGAGCGGCACTCACAGCATGGTGAGCGGCACTCACAGCATGGTGAGCGTGGAGAGCTTGCTGATGTCAGAAGGGAGCGATCCGGTGAGCTTCTGATTGTCCAGCTTCCTGCCAGCATGGGGTGGGGAGGAGGAGGAGCATGTTGGGGACGCGAGATAGATGCTGGCATGGTGGCATCGCTGCTGGCACAACAGCATGACAGGCAGTGCGCATTCCCCCATGTAATAGATGCTGCAGGCTTGGGGAGAGGAGTGCAAGAGCGGGCAAGGGCGCAAGAGCACTGACAGGCTGACGGGCTGGCCGAGGGAGTTGCAGAACACGCCAGACCACGTGCCGGGAATGGGAGTCTGCCCGTCCGCGGTGCAGTAGCCACCCGTGACCAGCCAGTCCGTCAGCGCCACACTGCCACTGCCACTGCTTCCTGCCGCCTTGGGCTTGAGCAGCGCGGCGGGGGGCGTCCAGTCCGTGAAGGTCACTCCCAGCGCTGCCTTTATGTTGCTCAGCACCGCGGCTGGCGCAGCGCAAGGGGTGTTCCAGACAGGGAAGCAGACAAGAGGACAGAGAGGAGTGTGAGAGGTTGGAGAGAAGAGTGAGAGGAGCGGGAGGAGGACAGGGCACAACAGGCGTAAACGGCAAGGGATGACGTCTGGTGAGCAGCAAGGCACAACGCACAATGGTGGCGTGGGGACGGGTAGAAGGGCAGGGCAGCAGAGCATCACCTGATGCGGCATCAATGATGACGCCGGTGCAGTACATGGGCATGACGGGCGTGGACAGCGTGGGGGTCTGATTGGCTGCCACTGCCGCTGTGGCGTTCGGCACGCACAGCCCGCCGCCGCAGAGAGTGCCCTGGCCATCGGCGCTGCCGCAGATGTTACAGCCGGCACGGTTGAAAGTGCCACCGGAGGTGCACCCGCCTTGGGAGGTGAGGCAGTTGACAGCCGCCGAGCACGTGACGCCGGGGAATGTGCCGATGGTGCCTACCAGGAAGTTGCCTGCAATGGACAGGGTCTTGAGTGCCGTGCCTATGGCGGTGGGCACGGTGCCTGTGAGGTAGTTGTACCTCACGTCGCTGGGAGGACGGCACAGCAGCACATGGGCGAGTGGAGTGCAGAAAGGCAAGGAAGTGAGAGGGGGCAGGGCAGAGCAGCCTTTTTTGGATCACAGAACCACTTTTCGAGTTATTTTTGAGAATTCTCAAAAATAACTTTTTTTCTTCTTTTTTTCTCGAGCCGGATTGTTTGATGTTTGGGTTGGGGTGTTAGAGTCAGTCCAACGCATGTTCGGATTGTGCCCAACTGACAGAGAGGTTCAAAGCGGAAACCTGGACAATTAGGGCATTAGGCAAAGAGAAATTTCGCGGCCAGATTTGTCTGAAATGCTGTTGCCGAACCGTACCCAAACCGGTTTGATTCAAATCGAACTGCATAAGGTTCGACCCGAACCGGTAAATGCTTTTTTTGACCACATCAGGCACAGCTCAGACCCCTACTTCTCCCCCACTCCTTTCCAGTCTTCGGTTTGACTCGAATCAAACTGGTTTAGTTCGACTGATTGACAGGTTCAACTCAGGTCGGACCGTTTCAGGTCCGGTTCTTGCTAACGTGAGAGCATCAGGGTGGGCGCCCGAAGCAAGCAGAGGAGAGGGGTGGCAACAAGGAGGAAAACGAGCAGGTGGCATGTAAGAAGAGGGGAGTGGGAGGTGATTAGGGATGGAGGCAGTACAGGCTGGTGAGTGTGGGGAGATTGAGCAGCGCGGTGGGCAGCGGGCCCGCGAAGAAGTTCAAACGTGCCGAGCTGCAGGCGGGCAGGCAGGGGAGAGAGGCAGAGCAGGCACGGGCACAGGCAGCAGTGAGTGAGGGCAAGACATGCAGCAAGACACACGTGAGGGAACGTGGGGAACTAGAACAACGGTGAGCAGACGGGAGAAGAATTGCAACGCCAGACGAAGCATCGACAGGGATGATGGCATGGGCAACAGAGAGCAGGTGGGAGGTGGAGGGCAGGTGGGGAGCAGAGAGCAGGTGGCGGGGGGAGGCGGCTGACAATATCTTGAGCGCTGAGAGCCCCTTGAAGCCCGAGGTGAAATAGGCCAGGCGGCCCTGCAGCATGTTGCTGTCCAGCACGCTGCAGACAGGCAGGGGCAGAGAGGGGTGGGGAAGAGAAGGGGGAGGAGGGAGAGGGGGGGATGCAGGTGAGAGGAAGCTCACAGCATGGAGAGACGTGAGTTCACAGCGAAGTGGGAGTGGCGAGCTTACAGCGAGGAGAGAGTGGTGTGCTTACAGCGAGGAGAGAGTGGTGTGCTTACAGCGAGGAGAGAGTGGTGTGCTTACAGCGAGGAGAGAGTGGTGTGCTTACAGCGAGGAGAGAGTGGTGAGCTTACAGCGAGGTGAGAGTGGTGAGCTTACAGCGAGGTGAGAGTGGTGAGCTTACAGCGAGGTGAGAGTGGTGAGCTTACAGCGAGGTGAGAGTGGTGAGCTTACAGCGAGGTGAGAGTGGTGAGCTTACAGCGAGGTGAGAGTGGTGAGCTTACAGCGAGGTGAGAGTGGTGAGCTTACAGCGAGGTGAGAGTGGTGAGCTTACAGCGAGGTGAGAGTGGTGAGCTTACAGCGAGGTGAGAGTGGTGAGCTTACAGCGAGGTGAGAGTGGTGAGCTTACAGCGAGGTGAGAGTGGTGAGCTTACAGCGAGGTGAGAGTGGTGAGCTTACAGCGAGGTGAGAGTGGTGAGCTTACAGCGAGGTGAGAGTGGTGAGCTTACAGCGAGGTGAGAGTGGTGAGCTTACAGCGAGGTGAGAGTGGTGAGCTTACAGCGAGGTGAGAGTGGTGAGCTTACAGCGAGGTGAGAGTGGTGAGCTTACAGCGAGGTGAGAGTGGTGAGCTTACAGCGAGGTGAGAGTGGTGAGCTTACAGCGAGGTGAGAGTGGTGAGCTTACAGCGAGGTGAGAGTGGTGAGCTTACAGCGAGGTGAGAGTGGTGAGCTTACAGCGAGGTGAGAGTGGTGAGCTTACAGCGAGGTGAGAGTGGTGAGCTTACAGCGAGGTGAGAGTGGTGAGCTTACAGCGAGGTGAGAGTGGTGAGCTTACAGCGAGGTGAGAGTGGTGAGCTTGGTGATGTCAGCATGCATGCTGCCCTTCAACAGCTGCTCCGTGAGGTCGCTGCAGCGAAGCACAGGCCAGAGAGGGGCGAGAGGAGAATGGTTGAGAAGGGAAAGGTTGAGAGGGGAGGCATGGAATGCAAGATAGAGGCGCCTTCGTGCCATGGCTGTGGCCCACAGACAGGCTTCGGGCTGCATCAGCGCAAAGAGAACCAACGCCACTGCAGCCACTCACATGCTTATGACCTTGCCCGCCGTATCACAATACACTTTCGCCCACGCCCCCACCACGGCCATCTGCCCTGCAATGTTGCACGGCGCCGTGTTAGCCCAGCTGGTGAGAGTGACGCCCAGCGACGCCTTGAGGTTGAGCATGGCGCCCAGCATGCTCGCATCCATGGGGCCGCCCTGGCAGTACATCGTCAGCAGCGGCTGCCCATCCGTGTTGGGCGTGCCGGCAGCGGCGGGCGCAGCAGAGTTGGGCGTGCAGAGGCCGCCGCCGCACAACGGCAAGGCAGCCATTGCGGAGCTGCAGATCACGCAGCTGGGGGAGGGCCGCTGCGCCGTGCCGAGCGTGTTGTTGCACTTGGAGGCGTCTGTGAGGCAGTTGGAGCGCGCATCGCACGCGGTGAGCGTGGCGGTGGGGAAGGAGCCCGAGAGGAAGTTGTCTGCCACGTTTAGTACCTTCACTGCTGCGCCCACCGCCGGCACCACCCCCGTCAGGTAGTTGCGGTTCAGCTTGCTGCGAGCAGGTGTCGGAGGGAGGGGAGAGGATGTGGAGAAATGGCAGCATTGAAGCAGGGGCGGGTGGTGAGGGATGGAAGGTAGCAGAGGCAAGAAGTGGGGGTATCACATGTGGGGCTGACTAGGGGATTCCGAAGGAGGGCATGCAGAGGGTAAGGGTGGTGGCCCACCACTGGGGGAGGGGCACTCACACGGTGGAGAGGGCTGGCAGGGCGAGGAGGGAGGAGGGGATGGTGCTGTAGAACCAGTTGTACTGCAGCGAGCTGCGAGGGGGCACGAGGCATGAGGCATGGGCATGGTGGGGGGGCAGCGATGTGGGGGGTGGGGCGGTGAGACGCCTGGGTGGCTGCAGAGAGTTGAAAGGCGGTGGGGATGCGGGAAGAGGCACGTGGTGGTGAGTGCAGCACGTGGTGGTGAGTGCAGCACGTGGTGGTGAGTGCAGCACGTGGTGGTGAGTGCAGCACGTGGTGGTGAGTGCAGCACGTGGTGGTGAGTGCAGCACGTGGTGGTGAGTGCAGCACGTGGTGGTGAGTGCAGCACGTGGTGGTGAGTGCAGCACGTGGTGGTGAGTGCAGCACGTGGTGGTGAGTGCAGCACGTGGTGGTGAGTGCAGCACGTGGTGGTGAGTGCAGCACGTGGTGGTGAGTGCAGCACGTGGTGGTGAGTGCAGCACGTGGTGGTGAGTGCAGCACGTGGTGGTGAGTGCAGCACGTGGTGGTGAGTGCAGCACGTGGTGGTGAGTGCAGCACGTGGTGGTGAGTGCAGCACGTGGTGGTGAGTGCAGCACTTACAGCGACTTGAGTGTCTTGAGAGTGCTGAAGAGTGTAACAAATGCATCCAAGCGCTGCTGAAAGAGATTGGCACTCAGATCCCTGCATGTGTGCATGCCATGCAGGACATGCCGTGCAGGCACATCGACATCAATGCATGCACATGCACAAACACAGGCGCATATCACCACGAACATGCACACACACATGCACATATCACCACGAACATGCACACCACGCACATGCACATTACCACACACATTTCACATACCATCACACGCAAGCACACATACACTCCAACACATAGGCAGGCAGCACTTAAGGCGTTGAGGCAGCAGTGAGCACGAAAAGTGGCTTTGCGTGAGTGAAGAAGTGAATGCGATGGAAGAAAGCTGCCATCCAGAGCTGCTCTGAAGCATGGCGGCATGAGTGGACTCAAGGCAGGCTTGCATGGTCGTGCATGGTCGTGCATGGGCGTGCATGGGCGTGCATGGGCGTGCACGGGCGCGCATGGGCGTGCATGGGCGTGCATGAGCGTAGATAGGAGCGGAAGGGGAGACTCACAGAGCGGTGAGAGCTGTGAGCTTGCTGACGTCCGCCGACAGGCTTCCAGTCAGCTTCTGGTTGGGCAGCACCCTGCAAAGTGGTCAGGGAAAGAGGTAAGGAGATGACAAGGGAAGACAGAAGGATGGGTGTTCGTGTGGAAGGAGGGAAGGAAAGGAGGGGGAATAATGCGACATTCGTAGCAGGCAGGCAGACACAGCGCGGGCGCTCACAGCAGGCGAGCACTCACAGGGCAACAACGGCGCCGGCGGTGTTACAGAAGACGCCGGTCCAGGAGCCGGGAGCAGGGGTCTGCCCCTCGACGGTGCAGGCGCCCACAGTGGTGGCGAGGGGCACGCTGCTGCTCTTCAGCGCCTTGGGCTGCAGCACCACCGTCGTTGCACTCCAGTCCGTGGCCGTCACTCCCAGCACCGTCTTCAGCGCCAGCAGCGTTGTGGCTGCACGAGGCAAGCGAGGAGAGGGAATGGGGCGCAGTGGTGGTGGCATGAGGACGAGCCAGAGTGGTGGGAAGAGAGCACAAGAGGGGGTGTTGTGGGAAGAGAGCGCAAGAGGGGAGGTTGTGGCAGGAGCAGCACTCACTGGTGTTGGTGTCCAAAGCAACTGGCGTGCAGTAGAGATTGCGAGCGGGAGACGACGCAGTGGGAGGTGCCGTAATGTCGGTGGTGTTGACAAGGCAGGTGACGCCGCCGCACAGCGTGCCCTGGCCAAAGGGGGTGCCGCAGATGGCACAGTCTGCAGCGGTGCGCTGCGTGATGCCGAGGGAGGCGCAGTTGTTGGCGTCGGTGAGGCAGTTGGTGGTGGCGGCGCAGTAGGTGAGCGCGTTGGTGGGGAAGGAACCCGACAGGAAGTTTCCCTGCACGTCCAGCGACTTGGCGGATGCTGGCACGGTGGGGAAGGGACCCGTGAGGTAGTTGTAGGCCACGGAGCTGGGGGTTGTGAGGAGGGGAGTGAAAGGTTGGGGTTTAGGGGAACGGGGAGGAAATCGCAAGGAAGTCCAGGTGGAGGAAGGAAGGAATGGATGCGGAGGGAGAAAGAGAGAGTGTGAGAGATGAGAGAGTGTGAGAGATGCTGTGCGATGGAGAGTAGAGACGGTGTGGTTGAAGCGCGAGAGCAGAAGGTGGGGTGGTGCAGAGCACTCACAGTTTTGAGAGAGTGGAGAGGGCGAGTAGCGCGGAGGGGAATGGACCGATGAGGTAGTTGAACTGCAGAGCGCTGCAGGCATGCGCAGCACAGGTGATGCACGGGTAAGGGTGGAGGGGAGGGAGGACAGAAAGGATAGGGGGTGGTGAGCAGTGGAGGGAGATGAATGGGCCAATGGTGAGTGGTATGCAGGGCAGGGCAGCACATGGTCGAACACACGCAACCTTGAGTGGCTGCATGCAAGGTTGCCTGCATCGATGGCTGCATGATTGGCTTCATGGTGGTTACATGAAGGGTTTGCTGCATGTGTAGGGATGGCGGCTTGTTTGCAGGGATTGGGTGCAGCGATGGGCTCATATTTGAGCACGAGGGACTCACAGCTCCTTGAGCACGAGGGGTGTCTTGATGCTGGCAGTGAAGGAGTCCAGGCGCCCCTGCAGCAGGTTGGACTGCAGGTCCCTGCAGCAAGCAGGCAGGGGGAGGCGAGCGCACAAGACACAAAACAGGATGCAGAATGGCACGGTGAATTGCAGACGTGGGCAGGGAGCAGCCAGGAGCAGCGGATGGGGCGAATATCAGCATCGCGGAGTGCAGGTGAGTGAGCGTGAGAGGCGGGGAGAGGAGAGCGCGAGCACTGACAGAGAGGTGAGCGTGGAGAGAGGAGGACTGACAGTGAGGTGAGCATGGAAAGCTTGGAGATGTCGGAGTGGATGCTGCCCGCCAGCTTCTGGGAACTCAGCACTCTGCAGATTCGACCCAACACACATGGCAGCAGGGAGAGTGCACAGAGCAAACGTGAGTAATATGCCGTCTCAGAAAACGAAACGCCAACCCCAAGCACGGTGTTGCATCGTCTACGTGTCTCTACGTGCACTCATATGCCCCGCACTTTGCGTTGCACTCACATGCCCAGCACTTTGCCGGTGGCGTCACAGGTAACCCCACTCCACGACCCAGCAGCAACGGCACCAGGCAGGGAGCAGGGCGAGTCGGCCTTCCAGTCGGTGAAAGTGACGCCCAGCGACGCCTTGAGGTTCAGCATGGCGCCCGCTTGCACCGAGTCCATCGCCACAAACGCCGCGCCCACGCAGATGAGAGGAAGTGTGGGCGACGCGGCGCTGTTGGGAGCACCGAGTGCCACCAGGTCCGTGGCGTTGACGGTGCACAGCCCGCCGCTGCACAGCCGGCCCTGCGCGTTGGTCGTGTTGCAGATGGCACACGCTGTGGTGGCCCGCGGGAGCTCGGAGGCGCGGTTGGGGTTTTTGCACTTGGTGGCGTCGAGGAAGCAGTTCATGCGCGCGGCGCAGAGGGTGAGGTTGAGCGTGGGGAAGGTGCCGGCGAGGAAGTTGAACTGCACGTCCACCACTGCCAGCGGCGATGTCACGTTCGGCAGCGCTCCCGTCAGATAGTTGTAGCCAATCGTGCTGCCAAGCAGAGCAGAGGGTACAATGGAGAGGCGAGGGTGCAAGTGGTTGTGAATGGATGAGTCAAAGAGTGGCGGAAGAGTTTGGAAGAAAGTGGTGCCGAACGTGTGGGTGGGGGGTTACGAAATCAATGGTTTTCTGGCGTACGGACGGTCAGAAGGCATTTGCAGAGGAGAGGAGAGACGCAAAGCAAGTGCAGGTTAATGGAGGGAGCAGTGGTGTGTGTAAGGGGGCTTACAGTTCCGTGAGAGTGTGTAAGGGGGCTTACAGTTCCGTGAGGCCAGGGAGGGTGAGCATGAACGCAGGCACCGAGCCGGAGAGCCAGTTGTAGGCGAGATCGCTGTGAGCATGGGATGGGTGGGTGGGTGGGTGGGTGGGGAGACGGGGGAAGGAGCAGAGGCGAGGTTGAGAAGATGCGAGGGGGGCAGACGTGATATAGCAGAAAAAAGAAAAGAAAGGAGGAAACACACACACACACACACACACACACACACACACACACACACACACACACACACACACACACACACACACAGGCGCACATGACAGCACATTCACATGCGCACGTCCCATAAGAGCAGGGTGAGGGCGACGCACATGGACTTGAGGTTGGTGAGCAGGCGCAGCTGCGTGGCAACTTCGTCCAGACGGCCCTGAAGGAGGTTGGAGGTGAGGTCGCTGGGGGGAGGAGCAGAGAGGGGAGAGGGGATGAGGGGAAGGGCGGAGGGGAGAGAGAATGAAGAGAGGGGCAGACAGAGAGGGGAGAGAATGAGGCGAGAGGCAGAGAGGAAAGTGAATGAGGAGAGGGAAGAGAGAAGAGAGAATGAGGAGAGGGAAGAGTGAAGAGGCAGTGAGGATGGATGGAGGGGAGCTCACATGGCAGTGAGTGCATTGAGGCCGGAGACTGCGAGCGGCAGCGTGCCCTTGAGCTTGTTGTTGGCCAGTTGCCTGGTGGACGAGCAGGCACGGTGGGGCCCACACAACACAACACAACACAACACAACACAACACAACACAACACAACACAACACAACACAAGACATGGCCACGGAATTGATGAGTGGAGAGGAGAGTGGTAGAGCCGGAGGCAAGGCGAAACATACGGCATAAGCAGATGACGGTGCAAGGAGCGAGACGGAAGAGCAGAGGGAAGTGGCAGCAGAAGGTGGGCAGAGCATGGGCGGGGAGAGAAAGACGGCGCGCAGTGTCAGTTTATAACATGGCGAGACCGGCGCATGGAGTGAGAAGGGGCAGGCAGAGCAGAGCAAGGGCAGGGGAGCAGCAGGCAGCAGGGGCAGGGCAGGTGGACTGACAGGCTGACGACTCTGCCGCCCGAGTTGCAGAGCACGCCGTTCCACGTGCCGGGAATGATGGCGGTGGGCGCCACGGTGCAGTAGGTGGCTTCCACCCACGTTGTGAACGTCACCCCCATCGCACTCTTCAGCGCCGCCAGCGCAGCAGCTGCCACGCAGCACGCAGGGGGTGGGGGGGATGGGGGGGAGGAGGCAATGGAAAGAGTGAAGTGATGAGGGGGTGCATGGCATTGGGGGAGGTGGCGTGGCATGGTGCATGGTGGGCCACGGGATGGTGCATGAGGAGTGGCGCTACGAGTGACGAGGAGTGGCGCTACGAGTGACGAGGAGTGGCGCTACGAGTGACGAGGAGTGGCGCTACGAGTGACGAGGAGTGGCGCTACGAGTGACGAGGAGTGGCGCTACGAGTGACGAGGAGTGGCGCTACGAGTGACGAGGAGTGGCGCTACGAGTGACGAGGAGTGGCGCTACGAGTGACGAGGAGCAGTGCTACGAGTGACGAGGAGCAGTGCTACGAGTGACGAGGAGCAGTGCTACGAGTGACGAGGAGCAGTGCTACGAGTGACGAGGAGCAGTGCTACGAGTGACGAGGAGCAGTGCTACGAGTGACGACGAGCAGTGCTACGAGTGACGAGGAGCAGTGCTACGAGTGACGAGGAGCAGCGCTACGAGTCACGAGGAGCAGTGCTACGAGTGACGAGGAGCACATGGCGAATGGCATGGCTGGGAAGTGCAGGGCGGTGAATGGCATGGCTGGGAAGTGCAGGGCGGTGAATGGCATGGTACGTGCACATCAATGTGACGCGCAGGCAGCATGGCGATATGAGGTAAGGCACTCTCACCATCGACAGAGTTTATGTTGATCACCGGAGCCCCTGTACCATGCACCAATGAGAGGCATTCAGAGGAAAACAGAGACATTCCAATGAGAGGTGATCGCGGCATAGGCATTCAGGGGCATAGGCATTCAGGGGCATGGCCATTCACGGACACAGGCATTCAGGCAGTCGCAAACATGGGCACGGGAGGAGAGGAGCGTGAGTATGTAAAGTAGGAGGAAGCGAGCAGCGAGTGTGGGGTTTCGCAGGGGTGAGAAGGTCACTACGAAGTAAAACGAGATTCCAACTGACAGCGCAGGGAGAGGGAGCATCCAGGGGGAGGAGACGCACCAGAGCAAGACATGGTAGGCGGGGCCAGCCCGTCAGGGTGGGCCGTGGTGGCGGTGACATCGGGCAGGCACATGCCGCCCCAGCACAGCAGCCCCTGCGCCGCTGCACTGTTGCAGATGTCACACGCAGCAGCAGCCCTCTGAGTGGTGCTGCTGGCGCCACACGCGGCGGCGCTGAGGAAGCAGTTGAGGCTGGCGTCACAGGCAGTGAGGGTGCCCGCTGTGAAGCTGCCCGCCAGGAAGTTGTCGTGCAGGTAGAGCGTCTGCAGCACGGATGACGTGGCGGGCAGCGACCCTGTCAGCACGTTCGCGTGCACATCCCTGTTGTGCCAGTGGAGGGGGGATTGGGTGGATGCGGATGGAGGGGGGAGGGGTTTGAAGAGGGGGAGGGAGGAGAGAAGAAGCAAGCAATGGACAGGTGAAGAACATGCATGGTGAAGGGGAGGGGGGGTTCAGAGGCAGGGGACAGGTGAATGCAATGGCTGGTGGAGAGGGGCATCCATGCGGAAACAGGATGGTCACGTGTGCATGTGTTTTGGACCCTTACAGAAGCGTGAGGGCGGGAAGAGACATGAGGGTCTGAGGCAGGGAGCCCGAGAACCAGTTGTTGTTGAGGCGCCTGGGGGGAGAGGAGAGAGGGAGAACAGAGCAAAGCAAGAGGCAGAGATGAATGCACAACGAGTGAGAGCAACACAAACGAGAGCAACATGAGCGAGAGCAACATGAGAGAGAGCACCGTAAGAGCAACGTGAGAGCACCACGGATTCAAGATGGATGTTCGAGAGTGGTGAGGGTAGAGAAGAGGCACTGACAGCTGCTGAAGCGACTTGAGGCCCGAGAAGGAGGAGGCAAAGCTCGCAAGGCCGCTTAGCAGGAAGTTGTTGGAGAGGTCACTGCAGGGGCGGGCGAAAGAGAGGGTGCACAGAACATGCACAGGGCGGAGGAGAAAGGAAGCAAGTGAGAAGAGGAGGCTTTCCAGGTGAGGAGAGGGCGCAGGGAGTAGAGACAAGGTTGGGAGGAGGGCATGAAGCAGTGTGGAAGCGGAAAAGGTAGGTGACAAATACAAAATTTGATATTAAGGGCTAACTCTGGCGAAAGATGCTGGTTCAGATGAGGCGTGCGAGGCGGCAGGACGAGAAGCAAGGCAAGTGAGGCGGAACAAGGTCAGACAGGTGAGGGCACTGACAGGTAGGTGAGGGCACTGACAGGTATGTGAGGGCACTGACAGGTAGGTGAGGGCGGTGACAGGTAGGTGAGGGCACTGACAGGTAGGTGAAGGCACTGACAGGTAGGTGAGGGCACTGACAGGTAGGTGAGGGCACTGACAGGTAGGTGAGGGCACTGACAGGTAGGTGAGGGCGGTGAGCTTGGAGATGTCCGAGTGCATGCTGCCAGCCAGGGCGGAGGAGGAGAGGTTGCTGCTCAAATTGGGATGGGGCAGGCAGGGAGCACGGAGAGGGGAGGAAGAGGGCGAGGCGAGGGGGGGAATGGAGGTCATGAGCATGCAATCTTGTTGATGCACTGGTGGATTGCAACAAGCATGTGCAGCCGCAGCAGAGGTTTGACGACGAAATCGTTGCATGCAGCAGAAGCAGGGAAAGGAGAACAGGGAGCAGGGAGCAGTGGCGGGGAGCACTGACACGCTGAGGACGGCGCCAGCAGAGGAGCAGAGCACGCCGGTCCAGGTGCCTCCGATGGTTATCGAGGCGTTGGCAATGGCGCAGGGCGATGCAGCCAGCCAGCTGGTGAACGTCACTCCCAGCGCTGACTTCACGTTCAGCAGTGCAAGCGCTGTGGGGGGCCAAGAGGGAGGAAGGGATGTAAAGGACGTGGAGATAAGAGTCAGACGAAATTTCAAAAGCGTACGTGCAGAGCATGGATGCGGAGCATGGAGGTTGGCAGCTTAGAAGCAGAAAGGAAATGGGGCGCATGTGCAAGGGAGGGAAGTATGTGAGGCACGAACGAAGCACAGAGGCTGGCTAGGAATTTATGCGTGCATGGTGCCAAGGCCTGTGAACGCACCTGAGCCCGTATCCATTGGTGCGGCAGGATTGTCTGCAACGGGAGAAGTAAAAACAGGGAGAGGGAGAGAGAGCGCAAGAGCATGAGGGATGAAGCATGGCAGGAGGCATGAGGCAGGTGAAAATGGCTGGGAAAGGAAGAGGAGCGATTAGCAAATGATGTGAAGGTTGGAAACACTGGCAACCTGTGCAGAAATGGAAGAACGTCGGACAGGGGACAGCATTTAGTCATGCCTTGCATGCAACACCCAGCTGTGCACACCTTACCCTACACACACTGACCTGCGCATGCCATGGGCAGAATAGGCTGGTTAGGCGAGTTGACAGTGCCAGCGCTGACAGCAGCAGCAGCGCTGGGAGCACAGGAACCGCCGAAGCAGAGGTCGCCCTGGCCGGCAGCGGTGCCGCAGATGGCGCAGGCGCCGGCAGGGCGCTGCACGATGCCGTAGGTGCGGCAGGCGGTGGAATTGAGGAAGCAGTTGTTGTCGCCCGCACAGAACATGAGCGGCAGCTTCGGGAAGGTGCCCGAGAGGAAGTTAAAGCCCACGTCCAGCGCGAGCAGGGTCTTGGTGGGGATGGGCATTGTGCCCGTGAGGTAGTTGGAGAAGAGGCCGCTGCAGGGAGGGGAGGGGGAAGGAGAGAACGGATCGGGCATGAGGAGGAATGGCACTTGTACTTGGTGATGTCACGGGAAGGCCATGGGGCTCTAGGGGGCGTGGCGTGGGCCTGCTGCTGCGTTGGTAAAAAGTAGGCAAGAGTGGTGCTGCTGGGTTGGCTTACAGTGAAGTGAGTGCAGGCAGTGTGGCGAAGGCGGAAGGAATGGAGCCAGCGAAATAGTTGTAATGGAAGAAGCTGCGATGGACGAGGGGAGAGGGGGGAATGGATATGAGGGGGGGAGATATGGAGGATACTAAGTGACAGAGGAGAATCAGAGGTATGCTGGTATTGGCGAGTATGGCATGTGAGTGAGTGTTTTAGGTTGGCGAAACATGGCAGGCAGCTGCAGCATGTGTGAGTTTGGACGAGCACAGCCCAGCACGCACTATGCAGCTGCGCTGCATGAGCCCTGGGAGGACAAGGGTGCACGGTGCACGGTGCAGGTCCATGGGTCACAGAGGCCAAGACGCTTCGCAGCACCACAGGGAGGTGAGTGAGGGGGCTTACAGCGCCTTGAGGGTGGTGAGGGGCTTACAGCGCCTTGAGGGTGGTGAGGGGCTTGAGAGGCGCAGCAAAGAGATCCAGACGGCCCTGGAAGAGATTGTAGCCGAAGTCACTGCGGGAGGCAGGGGAGGAGCGAAGATGGCGAGGGGAGTGTGGGGGAGAGGGGGAAGGGTGGTGTGGACGGGTCTCGCCTAACAAGTTGACAGCCCACTGACAAGGAGAACTGGCATGCTGTGCACAGTGCATTGCATCTCCCAATTGCACTGCCACTATACTCCTCTCACATGTGCACATAGCGGCATGTGACTGCGCTGGGCTTACAGGTATGTGAGCGTGGTGAGCTTGGAGATGTCGGGATGAATGGAGCCCTGCAGCTTCTGCCGTGTGAGTGCACTGCATGGGAACGAGCGGAGGGATCCAGGGTGAGAGGCAGGGGATGAATGAGAGAGGCAAAAGAGGGGGGAGTGGCAAGTGCAGCACGAGCACCCTCTCAGTGTTGCATAATGCACCCATTCTCTCCCGCCTCCCCTGGCCTGCCCTGCCCTCTCCGCACCACACTCACATGCTCGTGACTTTGCCGGCAGCGGTGCAGCGCACGCCGCCCCACTGTGCGGTCAGCAGCGGCTGGCCGTCCTGCGCACACAGCGAGCCCGTGTTCCAGTTGCTCAGCGTCACGCCCAGCGACGACTTGAGCGCCAGCAGCACCACCGCTGGTGGGCAGTGGGGACAAACGGGTGGGGACAGGGTTTAGGTGTTGACGGTGGGCACGGGGTTGAACGGACACGAGAGCAGGTGGGCAGAGGGTAGCAGAGCAAACGTGAGGCAAGTGCCTGTGCACAGGTGGTTGTGGGTGTATGGTTGCTTGTGGGTGCACGGGTGCCTGTGGGTGTGTGGGTGCCTGTGGGTGTGCGGGCGCATATGGTGTGCAGGCGCATGTGGGTGTGCGCATGTGGGTCCGCGAGCGCATGTGCTCAGCTCACCGTCAGCAGCATCGATGGGCACGCCACTGCACACCATGGGTAGCGTGGGCGAGCCGATAATATTGGGCGTGCCCGCCGCAGCGGCGGCAATAGAGTCGGGTGCGCAGATGCTGACGCCGCCACAGAAGGGCGGCTGCGCGTTGGTGGTGCCGCAGATGGCGCACTGTGCTGCGGGGCGCTGCACGGTGCCAGCCATGCCGCAGACAGAGGGGTTGGTGAAGCAGTTGGTGTGGCCGTCGCACCAGATGAGGCTCATGCTTCCCATGGTGTAGAAGAAGTTGGCCCGCAGGTCCAGAGCCCTCACACTAGTCCCTGCTGGGAAGCTGCCCGTGAGGTAGTTGTAGCCCAGCCCACTGCACGGGGGCGCGAGAAAAGGAGGCGGGTGGGGAGGCAAGAGGTGAGACTTGAGAGAGAAGTTGTGCTCCCTATTGAGAGTGAGCAAAGGATGTGAGGAAGGGCAGTGCCTGGACATAAGAGACAGGTGAGGCTGCAGAGACTTGTGAATCGGCGTGGGCGGACCAATGCGGGAGCGAGTGCGGAATGTGCAGGGGGGCTCACAGCGAGGTGAGCGAGGGCATGTTGACGATCGCAGTGGGCACAGTGCCGTAGAGCCAGTTGTACTGCAGGTAGCTGCGGGGCAGGGCAGTGGGGGCAGGGCAGTGAAGGGTGGGCAAGAGGCAGTACGGGACGAGAAGGATATGTGAGAGGGCAGCTGGAAGAGAAGGGCAGACAGGCCCCACGGGGACAGCAGAGAGAGGGCACGGTGGCAGAGGGGAGGATGGGGAGGGAAGAGACGGTGGGAGCAACGGAGGAAGAGCAGCTAATGAAGCAAAGCACAGGCGGGAGGCACAAGAGTCCGTAGCGACTCACAGCTCCTTGAGAGCGACTCACAGCTCCTTGAGAGCGACTCACAGCTCCTTGAGAGCGACTCACAGCTCCTTGAGAGCGACTCACAGCTCCTTGAGAGCGACTCACAGCTCCTTGAGAGCGACTCACAGCTCCTTGAGAGCGACTCACAGCTCCTTGAGAGCGACTCACAGCTCCTTGAGAGCGACTCACAGCTCCTTGAGAGCGACTCACAGCTCCTTGAGAGCGACTCACAGCTCCTTGAGAGCGACTCACAGCTCCTTGAGAGCGACTCACAGCTCCTTGAGAGCGACTCACAGCTCCTTGAGAGCGACTCACAGCTCCTTGAGAGCGACTCACAGCTCCTTGAGAGCGACTCACAGCTCCTTGAGAGCGACTCACAGCTCCTTGAGAGCGACTCACAGCTCCTTGAGAGCGACTCACAGCTCCTTGAGAGCGACTCACAGCTCCTTGAGAGCGACTCACAGCTCCTTGAGAGCGACTCACAGCTCCTTGAGAGCGACTCACAGCTCCTAGAGAGCGACTCACAGCTCCTTGAGAGCGACTCACAGCTCCTTGAGAGCGACTCACAGCTCCTAGAGAGCGACTCACAGCTCCTTGAGAGCGACTCACAGCTCCTAGAGAGCGACTCACAGCTCCTTGAGAGCGACTCACAGCTCCTTGAGAGCGACTCACAGCTCCTAGAGAGCGACTCACAGCTCCTTGAGATTGCTGAGCCCGTAAAGGTTGGAGGTGAAGCCGGCTAGGGGCGCCTGGAAGAGCTGCTTGTAGAGCGACCTGGAGAAGGGATGCACAGCAAGCACGGTGAGGGGCGCACATAGCACGCAAGGTGAGGGGGACACCGCATGGTGAGGGATCTACAGGAGAGGGCGGGAACACTCACAGGTAGGTGCGGGGTGAAGGGCAGTGCACTCACAGGAAGGAGAGGGCAGTGAGCTTGGAGATGTCGGCAGCGATGTCTCCCGTCAGCCCCGTGTTAAACAACTCTCTGCCATGCCATGACACAATGGGCGGTAGGTATCGTGAGAAGCATGTTACACGGAAACCCATCACTTGTGGTGACACGTGACTGCCTAGCTGATGCTGCCAGTCACGCCCGCCCCACACTGCATGCGTCAGCTCACCACCACTGCAGTGCACACTCACATTTTCAGGACGTTGCCGTCAGCGTCGCAGAGCACGCCGGCCCACGTGGGCACGGGTGCAGTGGTGCCCTTGATGGTGCACGGCACATACGCCCCCCACGTGCTGGACGACATGCCCAGCGATGACTTGAGCGCCAGCATCACTGGTGGGGGTGGTGCATGTCGGCCCGGGCAGATGGGAGAATTGTGGGGTGGGTAAGACAAGGCATGGCGGTAGGTAGGCTAGGTGCTGCTTGTGGCAGCAGAGCAGACGAAGCAGAAGTGGTCAGGGGGGCATGCCAGCCAGAGGTCTTTCGCTGTGACACGGCCAGCAGAAACAAACCATCGGGACTAGAGCTGGCCACTGCTCAACGTACACTGCACACCGTCCACTGCCCACTGCCCACTGCTCACCTCCGATTTCTTTGATGGGCACCACGGGGCTGCCCACACACGACATGGGCCGCGTGGGCTCCGTAGGCAGGTTCACCACGCCTGCAGCCACGGATGCTGCCACATCCGGCGTGCACACTCCCCCCGCACTCCAGCAGAAGGGGCCCACGCCGTTGCTGGTGCCGCAGAAGGCACAATCCGCGGCGGAACGCTGGGTGGAGCCAGCGGCGCCACTGGCGCACTTGGAGGGCGTGAGCAGACAGTTGCCCGCGCCGCCGCAGTATGTGTAGTTGGCTGTGGGCACGTCTGTGAGGAAGTTGCTTCGCACTTCTATAGAGCGCAGCCCTGAGGCGAGTGCGGGTACAGAGCCAGTCAGGTAGTTGTACATTGCACCACTGGCGAGGGGGAGGGCAGTGGGCAGATAAATGCCGGCATTAGAGGCAGACAGACCAGACCAGGCAGGCAGAAAGGGTTTGATAAGGAGAAATCAGACGAGATCGGAGGGCGAAGGAGAAGGAGCACGACTCTTCCAAAGCAGCACGCAGCTTGACCAGTACGTGCCTTCCTATCAGACTTACAACTGAGTCAGCTTTGGGAGGTTCACGAGAAACGAGGGGATGTCTCCAATGAAATAGTTGTAATGCAGGCGGCTGCAAGAGGAGCAGAGACGGGGAGGGGGGAGGATGGCTTGCAGCTTCTGGAAGCGAGAGAGGTTGTGGAAGGAGAAACGGGAACGGATGAAAAGGCGGGGAGAGTCAAGACACCACCATCCTCATCCGGCTGCTCTCACCCCTCCTCCCCCGCCGGCCACACTCTGGCACTCACATGTCGGCCAGCACTGGCAAGAGGCGAAGAAAAGTGGCGAAGGAGTCAAGGCGGTAGTTGAAGAGATTGCCCTGCAGGTTGCTGTGAGGGGCGAGCAGAGAGGGAAGGATGCGAGGTGGTTGGTTAAAGCATCTTGACTGAATGCAGCATGGCTTGAGCAGAGGGGGAGGGAAGCAGGTTCATGGGGTTGGGACCTTTCATTGAACGCCAAGAGAGAAATGATGAGGCAGCAGACATGAAAGGAAGAAATATTCTCAGGCGCAGAAGAAAGCATTTCCATGGCAAAGCGGATCGGAACAGCCAAACATTCGTAATGGCAGGCAGGCGCATCTCACAGGTAGGTGAGAGTTGTGAGCGTGGAGATATCCGTTGCAAGTGAACCCTTGAGCTTAGCGTTGTTCAGAGCTCTGAGGCACACAGCAAGGAACAGTGGTGGGAAAGGTAAAGTGATGCAGACAGAGGCAGCGGCAGACGGGCAGATGAGGACGACGACGGGCAGAGACATAGCAGCCAGATATGGAAGAAGTTTCACGGTGGGCAGTCACAGAATTGGCAACAACTCATGCCCTTGCTTGCTGGTGGCACTCACGTTCCCACCGGCTACGTGTGTGTGTGCGTGGTTATAGGTTTCAAGTGCCATGTTGACAGAGCTTCCGCACATGCATGTGCATGTCAATATGCCGGCCACTGTGTTTCCGCACATGCATGTCGAAGATGATGCCAAGGCAATCACGACCACTCACATGCTCACGACACTGCCATTGCCGTCACACAGCACGCCGCTCCAGACTGTGGCCGTGGTGGCAAACCCTGCGAGCTTGCACTGCACGGTGGCATCCCACGTGGTGAAGGTGACGCCGAGCGAAGACTTGAGGGCCAGCATGGCTGGTGAGGGGCACACGGGAAAAAGGGGGAGAAGGAAGGCAGCGGGAGGAGGGGGAGACCCCAAGGAGCATGTGAGCAACCGGAATGTGTGCACGGCCCCTGTGGTAGGGACGCTGCCCCAGGCAGCACAGTCCCACGTGGCCCAGCCCCTTGATGAAGCACAGTGCTAGACCGTTGCACTTCCCCCCATCCATGCCCATGCCCATGCGTGGTTCCCACACACACCCGTTGCTCAAGTGTCATCCCTCCTACCCACCAGGAACGCACCAACAGGCCATATGGAATGAGCCAGGCGCTGCCCACCTGAGGTGTCTTTGAGGGGCACTGGCGGCACCATGCACGCGAGGGGGATCACGGGCTGAGTGAACGAGTTCAGGATGCCCGCAGCCACAGCCGCATTCCCCTCAAGCGTGCACACTCCTCCCGGCCCCACACAGAAGGGCCCCACGCCCTTGGTGGTGTTGCAGAAGGCACAGTCAGTCACAGGCCGCTGAGCCGAGCCCACAGAGGCGCACTTGGAGGGCGTGGTGAGGCAGTTGTTGTTGCCGCCGCACCACGTGTAGGTCACTGCTGGCAGGTCCGTGAGGAAGTTGAACCGCAGGTCCAGCGTGCGCAGACCGGAGGCGAGTGCAGGCACGGTGCCGATGAGGTAGTTGGCGGCAGCGCCACTGGTGAACGGGAGAGAGAGCAGCGAAGCAGGGAATGACGGGCGGTATAAGGAGTGAGCGGAGAGGACGGGAGGCGAGGGAGAAGAGGGAAACGGTTCAAAAGCAGAACCACAGCCATCCGCTATACAAAAGCAGCAGCGTTTAAATGGGACTTACAACTGCGTGAGTTTGGGGAGGCCGACGAGATACGAGGGGATCTCCCCGAACAAGTAGTTGTAGTGCAGGCGGCTGCGGCACGACAATGAGGGTGGCATGAGGAAAGGATACGGGGGTCATGCACAAATGACAACAACCAAGGCGACTCAAAGCAAGAGAGAGAAACGGAGAGCAAAGATGAGACACGGTGAGGCAAGACACCACCGCCATTCTCTTTCTGAGTCATCTCTCGCTGGCCACACTGTCACTCTGGCACTCACAGACCGGCCAGCACTCACACATGTCAGCCAGCAGCACCAGAGAGCAGGAAAGCTGAGGCGAGACAAGGCAAGGACACTCTCATGTCGTGTTTTAAGTCGTCTCAAAACACTGGGAGAGCAGGAAAGGTGAGGTGAGACAGTGCAAGGGCACTCACATGTCGGCGAGCGTTGTCAAGGATTGAAGGTATGAGGCGAAGGTATCAAGGCGGTAGTTGAGGAGATTGCCCTGCAGAGAGCTGTGAGGGGGGCGAGCCGAGGGTGAAGGAGAGGTGTGAGGACAATGTGCTTGGATCGGATGCGAACGTTGGGGCAATGTGTTTGAATGCATCATGGCGCGCTCGCCTAGGCAACTCTACGGAGTTTGGATAGGGAACCTGCTGCTGCGTCAAACCCATTGGCAATGTGCAATGGGGTTGCCTGCTGCGTCTTCCCTATCCAAACGCCACGGAATGCATCATGGCAATTCTACGAAGTGTGGGCAGCCATTGCGTGGCGTTTGGATAGGGAAGACGCAGCAGGCAACCCCACGGGAGGAAGCAGTCCCGTGATGCAGCAGGCGAAGTAGAACAGCCAGAGAGCATGGCAGGCGCAGCGCAACTCACAGGAAGGTGAGAGCTGTGAGCGTGGAGATTTCCGATGGAAGTAAGCCCTTGAGGTTTGAGTTTAATAAGCCTCTGGTGTGCACAACAGTTTGCAGGAAAGTGTTGGGAGGAGGAAACATGCAGATGAGTATGGCACATGGGCAGATGAGCATGGTGCATGCGGTCAAGGCGAAAAAACCCGAATTTATCACACATTATGAGTGAAAATCCCAAAACGGTTGTCACTCGTTAAGCGCCAATCAGTGCGACTCACAGGCTGACGACACTCCCAGTGCTGTCACAGAGCACACCATCCCAGTTTGTGAAAGTGGTGCTCTGCCCCGCGATCTTGCACGGCACTGTGGTATCCCACGTGGTGTCAGTCACGCCCAGCGCAGTCCTGAGGGCGAGCATGGCTGGTGAGGGGCGCGAGGGGAAAGGGCGACATGGCAGGCAGCGGGAGGTGGGGGAAGGAGGCCCAAGGGGCTCGTGGAGGGAGGTGCACAGGCCCAGTGGACACAGCAAGCACAGCACCGCACCGCACAGCACAGCACAGCACAGCCTAAACCCTAAACCCCCTGCCTCCTTGCCCTCGCGCCCTGCTCCCGCCCACCTGCGGTGTCCTTGAGAACCACAAGCGGCCCGCCCACGCACGTCCTGGCAAGCGGGGTCGCCAGTGACATGGTCCCCGTGCCGGCAGCGATGGCAGCAGCTGCGTTCGGCGTGCACACTCCTCCCGCCCCCCAGCAAAACGGGGGTGCGCCGTTGGTGGTGGCGCAGAAGGCACAATCCGCCGCAGGCCGCTGAGTCGAACCAGTGCTGCTGCACTTGGAGGGCGTGCCGAGGCAGTTGATGTTGCCGTAGCACGTGGCGACGGTTGGGATGTCTGAGAGGAAGTTGTTTGCGAGGTCCAGAAAGACAACATTGGCGCTGGGCGCAGGCACCGTGCCCATCAGGTAGTTGAAGGGCGCGGAACTGGCCACGAAAGAAGACAGCAACAGGGGGGGGGGGGAGGGGCGGGACGGTATACAGAGTGGTTCAACAGGATGACAGCGGGAGGGAAGAACGGGAACGGCTCAAAGCAGCACGCAGACACAAGGTGCATGACACCCCCGCCAGGCTAAGGAGTGACTTACAGTGAAACGAGCTTCGGAATGTTCACGAGAAATGAGGGGATCTCCCCGTACAAGTAGTTGACGTGCATGCTTCTGCGAGAGGAGCATAGATGGTGGAGGTGGAAGGTGATGTGAGGCATCGTGTGGAAGGGGCAAGGCTCGTGCAGGCATGACGATTGAGGTGTCACAGAGTAACTTACAATATATTTGTTAAAACAAAAAACAAAAAACAAAGCTGTGCCACTCACATGCCAACCACGCTGTGCCTGCCACTCACATGTCGACCAGATTTGGCAAGGATTTCATGCTTGAAGTGAAGGAGGCGATGGGGAAGTTGAAGAAGTTGGACGTCAGCGACCTGCCGGGGAGGGAGGGGCACGCAGGGGGCGCGCAGGGAGGGGCGCACAAGAAGGGCGCGCAGGGAGGGGCGCGCAAGAAGGACGCGCAGGGAGGGGCGCGCAAGAAGGACGCGCAGGGAGGGGCGCGCAAGAAGGACGCGCAGGGAGGGGCGCGCAAGAAGGGCGCGCAGGGAGGGGCGCGCAAGAAGGACGCGCAGGGAGGGGCGCGCAAGAAGGACGCGCAGGGAGGGGCGCACAAGAAGGGCGCGCAGGGAGGGGCGCGCAAGAAGGACGCGCAGGGAGGGGCGCGCAGGGAGGGGCGCGCAAGAAGGTCGCGCAGGGAGGGGCGCGCAGAGGGTCACGGAGGTGAGGCCGTTGCACCTGACAACCGCTCGTCGCTCGACAAAAAGTTCGGACCACCCAGTTCATTGAAGCAGGCCGAAATAGGAGACGCGTGACGTGATCCAATACAGCATCATGCTGGTTGGAAAGCCATGTGAAAGCGAGTAGAGCAGCATGAGAGTGAAGCAGAAGAGACTCACACTCGGGTGAGAGCCGTGAGCGCAGACATGTCAGCATGAAGTGGCCCCTTGAGGCCCAGGCCGTCCACAGCTCTGATGGACGGACGAGATTGGGCCACGTGTAATGCACAATGCAGGTAGGCAGATGGATTAGTATAGCAACCAGTTGGGGAAGGCAGAGGAACAGCGGTCAGAGGATGCACACAGGCAATCGAAACAGACGACGATTGAGACACGGCGTGGTGTGGGTGAGGCGGAGGCGTGGGTGAGGCAGATGTGTGGGTGAGACGGAGGCGTGGGTGAGGCAGAGGCGTTGACTCACAATAAGACCACCTTGCCGTCGCTGTTGCACCACACCCCGGTCCATTCAGTGGCGAAGGCCACCGAGCTTCCAAACACGTGGCACGGAGAGTTGGCGGCCCACGTGGTGAAGGTCACACCCAGCGCGCTCTTGATGTTCAGCATGGCGGCGGCTGCAGGGCAGGGCAAGTGGGGCAGAAAGAGCACAGAGGAAGCTCATGTGAAGTGAGGAGGTGAAGGTCACACCCTGCGCGCTCTTGATGTTCAGCATCGCGGCGGCTGCAGGGCGGGGCAAGTGCAGTTGCCCGGCAATGCGGCGAGGCGCAAAGGGAACTCATGAGACGTGGACGGCGGACGGGTGGTAAGCGAGAGTGGTGGGTGGTGGAGCAGAGCAGAAAGCACCAACATTGGACTGGACTGCATGGTGCGTGGGTATAAAACGAACGCGTAGGCAGAGAAGGACCACTGACCGTCATCAATGTCCATGTAGGTGGGGATGTTAGCGCATCCCATCAAGTTGATATCACTCGCGTAGTTATTTGTTCTCGATGAGATCAGCGAATCAGCGTTCGGCTTGCATCCTTGCCCCGGGCTACACAGCGTGCCGGTGCCGTCCGTGCTGCCGCAAATAGCGCACGAGGCGCGCTGGGTCCCGCTGCACTTGCCCAGGTTGGAGAAGCAGTTAGTGGTGACGCCGCAGTACTCCCAGGCTTTAACGGGAACGGTGCCTGTGAAGAAGTTGCGAGTGAAGTCAATGCGCTTGAGCTTGGTGACGGTTGATGGCAGCGAGCCCGAGAGGAAGTTGGCACGTATAGACCTGTGGGGTACAGCACGCATAGTTGGCGGGTAAACTAAGGTGGAGAGAGCGAGAAAGTGGGCGTGGGTGAGTGTGTGAGTGAGTGAGTAATTGAGAGTGAGTGTGATTGGGTGACTGATTGTAGTGAGTGAGTGGAGTGAGTAGGGTGAGTGAGGGAATGGGGGAACGGGAGGACAAGGGGTGAAGAGAGGCCGCCGGAAAGGCGTTAGGTAGGGGTAGAGATGGTGAGCTTTGGCGTATGCAGTAAAAGGGTGATGGCTGCTGCGGCCCCAAAGTGTCCCCTTGATAGCACAGCGCTGCGCTCGTCCTCACGATACTGTCATTCTATACTTACAAGGATGTCAGGCCGGGCAGGTTCGCAAGCATGCTCGGAAATGTCCCGGAGAAATACATGTAGTTCATGTTTCTGGCGGAACGGGGGAGACAGGGATGCATAGGGACAGCAAAGATACGCAGATAATGTAGCGCATTGGGACTACGCAGCCAGGGCTGTTAGCTTGAGGCGTCGATGTGCTTTTAATCGATCAAGGCGCGAGCGAGAGCAGCATAAAAACGAAAGCAGGGCCGCGGGGATGATCTCTCACATGCCAACTATGTTGGTGTTGGACTTGAAGTATTTGAGGTACTCAGCGAGGCTGCCATCCAGGAAGTTATACGGCATCAACCTGCACGCAGCAGCCCACACGATCGCAGTGAGCCCGCATCCACGGCATCCACACTTGAAAGCAGCAGCGCGTGTCACACATGGAACGCGCAGCGATGCCGCCCGCATGCATGCCCAGGGACGTGCACGACAGTCAAGCGATCCTAGGAGAATTCTTGCAGCAGAGAGCACTTACAGATAGCGAAGCTCCGAGAGCTTGGAGACGTCTGACGGGAAGCTCCTCCGCGTGATGGACCAGCCTTCCAGGTTGCTGCGAGCATCAACGCGGCAGACACGCGGCAACTTAGATGGACTGAACGACGCAGGGAACAGTGAGGCAGTGCATGAGAGGAAGCTTGGATGAAATTCGCCGCAACACCTTACCTTCTCGCCGCGTGCGGCGCGGCACTCACATCGTGAAGACGTTGCCGTTCGTATCGCAGTTGATTTGGCCCCAAAGTGTACCGGGCGGAGAGGTGCCGTCATCGCAATGATTGGCGGGGTCCCAGTCAGTGAAGCGGCTGAGATCCAAGGCCGTCTTGATGGCCATCATGGCCGCCGCTGATGCGCGCGGGAGAGAAGAGGAAAGAGGGGGAAAGGGGAGGGGAAGCACGAGTGCGCTTCTATCATTGCGGAAGAAAACAAGCAAGGAACGGTGTGAGGAAATGGAGCAGGGAAGTAACAACACTCTGAGCTCTTCATTGGGCAAATCTTGAGAAGAGCGTCCTAGTGCGAATCATAAACTGTGCAAAAATCCCTCTATATTCTTCCGCCGAAAGGTCTTGCAGATTAGGTGGGCTCGGTGTGGCGATGGACGAGCCAAATGGCCCGGGATGGGGACGAAGCCCGATGAGTCTTCGAATCAACAAAATGCAGCAGGTGCAAATGAACACTTTGACGCTGAACGTGTGTGGCTCCACCACAGTCAACTCTCAAGGATGATACTACGAGATGATTCAGGTGACTAGGGTTTCTACCTTGATCGGGCTTAAGAAGAACGCTAGCGACGCCGTGAAGTTGGGTAGACAGCACTGCGAGCACGACCATTGCCACGAGGCACACATGCTTCGAGCCTGAGGTCGCCATGGCGACCATCATGCGCGGCGCCGCTCTTCCCGGCTAGACTACCAGTGCACGACTGTTAGTCTGGCGATTCAGTACCGCTGTTACGGCACAAAAGTAGGAAAAAAACTGTAAGTAAGCGAGAAGAACCGCGGCGGCGAAAGCTGGTGACTCGTATACAGCCGTTTGCTGCGGTGCTCCTTCCGTTTGTACTAATAGCAACGAACGGAGTCTGCCAGATGATGAAGAAACGCGGTGAAGGTGATTTCGGCTACGCGGAGGACATGATCGTCGCTGGACCATCATGCGGATAGGTGGTGCTAGGCTAGACATGCCAACGCAATGCCGCGAAGCCTGTGTGGCTTGGATCCCAGTGGAAGGTGACCTGTGGGGGAATGGATCTGTTGGAAAATAGCGTCAGGAGAGAAGCTAGCCTCACGAAACCATCGACACGGGATAAGATTGCAGGCGTTTCGTGAGGAAAACAATTTTTTATGTCAGCACGTTCGCTAAACACGTTCTTGGTACCTAAGTCGCCGAGGTTATTCACGCGGAATAACAATTTAATTTCGCACCTCTAGCGCCGCTTACCATCCGGTCACTGCCGTTACGGCGTGTTGCAATTCGCGGTGCACTGCATCGGCTCGGCTCGTGGCACGGGTCTAGGAAGGCTCGAGGAAATCAAGGGGCCGTAAATTTTTACAGAAAACATGTGGATTTTTTATATTCATTCTTGTAAAAACTTTATAACCTTCGAAAATAACTCTTGTAATCAATCTTTGATATTCTTTCTTTGCCGAATCATTGCCCGAATTTGGACCCCGCCTGCTTGGAGCCTTCCTTTCGTCCCGTGCCGACGCAGTGCATCGCAAATTGCAACACTCCGTAAGGTAGGGTTTCACTGTGTCTTGTTTAGGATGTGGAATGTGAGGACGCTCGGGATCTGGACCACTAGAATAAGAACAAAGGCGCTGCACTTGTTGAGAACAACCGCCATTTGGAGGATTAACTGCCTCGATGAACATTCCCTCCCACACTCCAAACGCTTTTGTCCGACTGGTTCCTGATGGGTTCGAGTTTCAAGTTTCCTCTTGACGGGGTACAGACACCATATGGAAGTTTGGCCACCACAGAGGGAGTTCCTTATTTTTCTTAGGATTCAAGTATAAATGTAACGTATGCTACAAATTTTAGGAGCTGGATGTTTGGACAACCATTCTCAGTCCAGTCTTGTTTTAGAAATCCCTGACAGGAGAAACAACTGTCTGGGTCATTCTTAGCAGGGGAAGTAGGCCAGACCATCGCTGGTGCCGAACTGATGGTGTCCAGAACTGGGGAACGCCCTACAAGCCATCGAGGTATGAGTCCGACATCCACCGAAAATACATCGGTGTATGTGTTCCAAGTACACTGGCTGCATCCTAGATCAACCATACATTGCTCATCTGGACCACACGGTGCGCGATGCATGCTGCTTCTGGAAAGGGAGGCTGGTGGTGGACGCAAGCGAATCCTGACAGAAGTCCGAGTTCAGAAAGGCTTCACACAGAAAGCACTGAGGCAAGTTCGGGTTTCCAGTTACTGTATTCAAGAACCGTTGATTTGGATCACGTGCTTCTAGGAAGTTTTGTCTCTTTCTTTACACGCTTTTGGCTCATTCGATCCTCAGCCTAGACACACATGGCGATCAAACACGTGGCGCATTTTTAATGGTCGAATGTAATGTTTACCCCTGATTGCAGGGTTACCGCGTCACAGAAACTGGAGAAACTCCGTCATTTCGTGAGAAGGTGTCTCAACTGCGCGAGTCTGCACTTGTCCGGTGCGAACCTGGAGAGCCAGCTCAAAAAACCACCGCGTGAAGTGAACCAGCAGCGGACGTGACCAGAATGCGGGACTTGTAACCCCATCATACCTATTGTTATGAGTTTTACTTGACAGAGTGCGTGGAAAACTTTACAAAGAAGACGTGATTACAGAATGATGAAACAATGAAGGAAACGAGCATTTATAGGGCAAAAACGTGCTAGGCGAGGACCTCGTGATGTGGTGGCTCGGGAATGTCGCAATTGGTGCGGGGCGACTCGGGGCTGGTTCGGTGCGAAAGTGTAGGCC